AGGATGTTTTTGTAGGAAAATTGGTGGAGTGAACACAAGTATTAATAATACCATAATCGCAATCAGATAGAAACAGTTTTTGCTGATTTCTCAATGTTTATATGTAATTACAGAAATTTTTATATTTTTCCACGCAGCCATTTTTTCCTTGTGATTATTGTACATATACAAGCAACCAGTCACGTGGATTTAACGGTTCTGTCAATATTACAGAAAGCTGTAACTTTCGATCACAATTTGACCCATTAAACATAATTTGAATAATTTTTTATCGGCATATGCATTTTAAATGAAAATGTATAGTATAAACAAATCCGTAACGTAAAAGATTGTTGAATTATAGACCAAAACACGTTTGATTTTAAATAGAAGAAACCGAATGCTATTTACTCTGGTTAGTCCGATGTGCAGTGTAATGTCTATGTTGTATTTCTGAGAAACACAAAAAAAACCGTTTAAAATATTTACTGTACCTACCTACCTACAAATAAAGGGTGTTAAAAAAAACTCTTTACACATTTTCTCTCAGAGGCTTAATTATTAACCGATCATAACAAAATAAATGTCTGACTGTTTACAATTTCGTCCTGAAAGCAAGCATGACCCCTCAACGGTCAGGTTAGAATATATTTAAACCAGGAAAAGGTAGTAAGGTACATTCCTCTCCTGGCGCCATATTAATTATGCAAAATATCTTTTGTACAAAAGTATTTTGAAATAAACATGAATGTGAACATTTCTACATAGCATTCTTTCTCTAGCTTTTTTCCTGTAACGGTAAAAATCTTATCTTAAAAATGTTGCTGTAAAAGAATACATTATTGTGGAGAAAGGAATTGAGTCTTTGCCACAAACTCTGATTTTCTGATCCCAATATCTTTGCAACCCAATGTCGTAGACCCTTGATATTTCAAACTGTGAATCATGTAAGACCAAATAATCTAAGTTTGAAATATCAAACGTGTCCACCATTAGGTTGCAAAGATATAGAGATTAGAAAATTTGAGCTTGTGGCAAAAACTCAATTCCGTTTTTGGTAATCATTTGAGACCTAAAAGACATTTATACGGTGCATATTTGTTCAGCAAGAGAGAAAATCCATTCTTTAAAATCTTCATAGATTTTTGAGGGATGATTTTGAGAATCGGGTTTTGTTTTATGGTGTTTGCAGAAATGAAAAGTTTTATACAGTGAAAGTTTCTGAATTAACCATAGCTTCTATAACGACGACAAAAAATGCAGTAAAAATTCTACAGTAAACTAATTAGTTGTTAAGGTACAGGTTGAGCAAATGAAAATTAACTTTTATCATCGAAAATAAGTGATCCTATTCAGTTATTGGTTTCTGTAATGTCCCATTGTTCACAAACCTTTTCTGTAGATTTCCTGGACTTTTGATTAAAAAGACGACATTTGAAAAAATCTGCGAACAAATTCATAAAGAATAAACAATTCAATATAATAATGAAAAAGAAAGAATGATACTAAGATTGCTTTATCGAAAAAAATTCAATTGAGAAATATGTTCCTAAACAGCTAATTATTATTATATTATAAAGATTTATTCACACACAAAGATATAAATACATTTATAAATGGTGTAGTTTAAATTTGTTAAAATAAAGTTTTGAAAATACCGGTTTCCAACACAATAGAGAAAAATATGCAAAATTATGCAAATAGACAACATTGATTATTACTCTTTACATAACATATTTATCATTTCAGTTATTACGTAATCATCGAATCCTTCAACATATAAACTATTCATTCTTGTATTTAAAAGTTCTTGTAAAACCGGAACTTTCCATGCATGTTCCAATGGGACATCAAAATATTTCATTTGTTTCTTAACTAACATTTTACTAATATCCGAAGGATTTACAGAACAATCATTTGCAATAGAAAATAAATTTCTGCCAAGAACTTTGCTAAGGTCATTTTTACATAAATTAGAAAGAAATCTAATGAAAAGCTTAGAACATGCATCAATAGTCTTATAAAAAGACACACATCTGCTAGCTAACATAGTTTTTACATGTAAACATTGTGAAATACTTTCAATCAAGTAACTTTCAATCAGGTACATTAAAAAGAATTCTAATAGCAGTATTCCATGCTTTATACAATTTTGAAACACATTGGGAACTCAAGTCCCAAATACTAGATCCATAAAAACTACAACAAGAAATATTATACAGTTTCAAAATAACATCAGGACTGTTAAAATAAAATTCTTGGTTAAGGGAATGAATTTTTGAAATGAAAATAGCTCGTTTTTTATTGCAATATATGGTCATTAAATTATCACTTTGCAGAACATTTCCTACTGAAGATTTTTTTACAATTTTTTTGGTCGTCGTTATTTAATAATTGAAAAAAAATCGACTCTCAAAACGTAACTACCCAAATGAATGATTTAGAACGTCGACTTTGCGCACAAACTCAGTAATTAAACATCATTAATTAGTTTTATGTGTCTCAAATGAACCCTAAAAAATTTCTCCACAATTGAAATACTACATTTTCTCAGTTCAACTACCATACATTGCAGGTAACTCCCTTTAATCCGATAAAACTCGTTAAAACCGATAGGAATCTAAAGGATGAACTAGAACAAAAGAAATAAGATTGGAAAATAAATCTAGAGAGAGAGATTGACAAGTTTAATTAGTTTACTGATTGGTTCATTATTCGGATTTAACCCACCATCTCTTCATTCCGTCCTATATATAAATATGCTTTTTATCTTTTCTTCATCTCCTGTTATCTCCTCTTATTTACTGTAATCTCATGTTATCTCCGGTTATCTCCTGTTATCTCAAGTTATATCCTGTTATCTCCTGTTATCTCAAGTTATATCCTGTCATCTCCTGTTATCTCCTGTCAAGTTATATCCTGTTATCTCCTGTTATTATATCCTGTTATCTCCTGTTATCTCCTGTTATCTCCTGTTGTCTCCTGTTGTCTCCTGTTATCTCCTGTTACCTCCTGTTATCTCCTGTTTTACTGTTATATCCTGTTATCTACAGTTAAATCCTGTTATCTCCTCTTATCTCCTGTTATCTCCTGCTATCCCCTGTTATCTCCTGTTATCTCCTCTAATCTCCTCTTATCTCCTGTTATCCACCGTTATATCCTGTTATCTCCTGTTATATCCAGTTATATTCTCTCCATTCCGTTCTATTTATGTGCTTTTTATATTTTTTTCATCTCCTGATATCTCCTGTTATCTCCTGTTATCTCCTGTTATCTCCTTTTATCTCCTGTTATCTCCAGTTATCTCCAGTTATATCCTGTTATCTCCTGTTATCTCCTTTTATATCCTGTTATCTCTTGTTATCTCCTGTTATCTCTTGTTATCCCCTGTTATCTCTTGTTATCCCATGTTATCTCCTGTTATCTTCTGTTATCTCCTGTTATCTCATGTTATCACCTTTTATCTCCAGTTATTTCCTGTTATCTCCTGTTATCTCCTGTTATCTCCTGTTATCCCCTGTTATCTCCTGTTATCCCCTGTTATCCCCTGTTTTCTCTTGTTATCTCCTGTTATCTCCTGTTATCTCCTATTATCGCCTGTTATCCCTAAAATGTATGTCTCTGTCTAAATGTAAAATGATACTGTATCTAAGTACCTTCCTTCTATTCTAAGGAAATATAACAATAGCATAATTTCATAATCTTATAGTATTTTATTTTGTATAATTGTAGCAGAAGTCGATATACACTTTATACAGGGTTTAATCTTATCTGAAGAATTTCATTCTTTGAACCAACATTATTAACTCTCTCTCAAAACTTACGCGAATAGAAAATATTTACAATGGGAAAAAATATAGCCCTGTTAAACAAATCAATGTTTAGATTGTAAAAAAGTATACAATGTAATAAAATTTAGTTTTATGGTGGATATACCACAACAATTTTTAACTATGATGCTATCGACATTTATTTTATACTATTTACTGTCAGAGCCTCACTAAATTTACAACTTCAAGTAATATGTATGTAGCAATTATTTTATAACGAGTAAAAGTCAAAATAAAAAAGATTCGTTTCTATAAGCACATTATTTCGTTTTCAGCTTAGAAATGTCCCAGAGCCGCATCTTATTTACCCATAGATAAATAAATAAACATAGAAAGCTTATGTACACAAAATCACCAAGAATTGTACAGTCCGTGAACTCATACTTCTAAGGGTCAAAGTGTACTTCAATGATAAGCCGGGTGGTTTGGTGTTTTAATGGATTTCATAATAGATTTTAAAATAACTCCAGGAATGGAACTATTAAAACAACAATATTTCACTGAGCAATATACAGGGTGTCCCAAAAAACATGGGAATTCAGTGACGAATTCGATATCGTCTTTGTTATGAATTAGCATTGTAATACCTAATTTCAAAAGCCATAATATTATTATGTCTGCTAGAGTTTATTTAATGAAAAGGGTAAAAGACTGAAAAGATGTGTCTATAATGTCTCCGCAAGATGAACAGTGAATACGGACAAGTTTACTCTGTTTGTATACTGTAATTTTCTTATTTTACTAAGTACAGCCGGTTGCAGTCAAAACATAAACAAACAAAATGTAAACATAGCAGACGAAACTCTTACAGATTACAGCTTTCTCAGTAGGTATAACTTTACTAAATCAAAGAATTATTCATAAAGACGATATCGAATTCGTCAATGAATTCCCATGTTTTTTGGGACACCCTGTATCATATTGACGAGAACTGACGAAGGACATGAGAAGGACTAAACTAACTTAAATTTCTCTCTACAGAACTCATGTACACCACAAGTACTCAATGACATAAGAACAGCCAATGTTCACAACCAACCTAGTTAATCTAGTTGTTCCATGATAATAGGAATATCTCTGTACATTTATATCTTTTAAGATGAAAAATGTCGTCTTATGCGCAATCTATCTTTATCTATGTATTTACCTTTACACACAATGGACCAACACACAAAGTTCAAAAGTTCAAAGTTCTCAAAATACAAAATGTTTGTAATGTTAATTTATTTTTAAGATTTCATGTTTTCTCTCACTAACTTTATCAATTCTCCTAATTCCTCTTCTTCTTTCTTCATCTCCATCATCAGCATATTATACTTCATATCTTCTTCTAAATATACAATTTACAAAAAATATGTGATTTAGGGCTGTTTGAATTATTTTTAAAACAAATTTTGATAGGGTTTAGTTTAGAACTGCAGTGAATTAAGATATTATTACAGTGATTCAGGGTTGCAAACTTGGACGCATAATTTGAGGAGAAATTTCTGATCCCTTATTTAAACTAAAGCTGAAAACAAGAGTTTTATATGTTTAAAATTTATATATCTAGGGCTACAAAAAATAGAAGTTAGTTAATGAGTTTAAATCAAAGGCCAAAAGACCCATGTTTTAAAAATGTGACTTTGCATAAGTCTGGACCTATGTGAGATTAAGAATACACTGTGATTTTTTAGTGCATTACCCTTTTTTCTATATAAAACAGTTTTCGACAAAGAAAATAAAAAGGTAATTTAAATTTTATTTTCACTGAAATAGAAAATATTTTTCTAGAAATATCATTAATTTTTTTGAAAAATATTTGGGAACTAATTTAACTTTAGAGCACCGAGCTATACAGCTAGTTAATATTACAGCATTGCTACAAAGAAATAAAACAAATATATAATATACATATAAAGTTGAAATCTCTGTTTGTTTAGATTCCGATCATAACTCATGAACCTCTGTACCGATTTGGTTTGAGAGAACCATGGAATGTTCGTAGTTTAGTTTTAAGATTTTAAGTTGAGTGGGTCCACTTTTATACTGAAAAAAAGTTAAAATCGTAAATTACGACCAAGCGCGGGTAAACTTGGGAGAACTAAGTACGAGTACTCTGGGCAACGCTGGGTTCTCAAAATAGTGAATGATAAAATGCACAAACATTTTATAAAACATTTTATAAAACAGTTTAAGATGATTGACCCAATCTTAGTTTCAAGAATCGTCTTTGCAAGTTTTAAAAAACATGGTTTACCAGAATGTAAGACCTCAATAATATGCTTCGCGACCTATTGGTTGAAAGGTGCAAAGGTCAGCAAAGCATAAAGGAGGGGCACGGAACGCCTTGAATTCTATTTTATTCAATAGAACAGTGTTTTATTGGAGTAAAATTTTTATTTTCATTTATTTTTGTTTTTATTTTAACATTTATATTTCTATTTTTGTGCAAATCCCAACTTGAGTTAACATTTAAATAAAAAGATTGTCCAGAGATTAGATTCTCTTTTCATACAAATCCTAATTAGAAGGATAGCAGTAATGAAATTACCAAATCAATTACATCAATTAACTTCGATTAATTATCGCGTTAATTATACTGGTAATTACTTCGGCCGTTACTAGACGTATACATAACAACGTCTACAAGAGATTTAGAATACGAGACTTGTTAACGATTCTGTGAAAAGCTGGAAAGTCCTGATGAAATTGTNGGGTTTGGTGACTGGTGAGTGAAAAAAATAGATGATGAAAAAAGGAGGACAGACGAACTGTTTAAAAATAGTCCAATTTTGATACAATCTAAGTGTGGTTCAGTTTTTATTTTATATTTTAATCCTGGCAAAACAGTAATTAAACGATATATATACAAAGTGCGTAATCTCGACACTGAAACTCATCTATCCAAATCAGCATGCAAAATATTTTTTGTGACATTTTAAGTTATAAATGAAAAAACTAAAAAATTTAAAAACTTTTTTTTTCAATTTACAACAATAAATGTTTTTTTTAAAAAGCAGAATTTTTAAATGGGAAGGAACCGTTTATGAAGATTTGCACACACAAAGTCGGAGGTTTAGTATTTACATTACCCTTGATATCTTTGTAACCTGGTGAAATATCAAAAATTGACATCATCAAATTTAAAAGATAAAAGGATTGGAAATTTCAAGTTTAGTAAAAACAGGTTAAATCTTACCTGCATTAGATTCTCGTTTATTTGGAGTGTATCCAGTATCTTGTGAAACTACTGTATCTTGTGTGTATCCTGTATCTTGTATCGTCGTTAGGTCTGGTTTGTATCCAGCATCTGGGTTTTCAGCAGGTCTGTATCCAGGATCTGGTTTCTCCGCTAGATCTGGTTTGTATCCAGTATCTTGTGTCTCTACTAGGCCTGGTTTGTAACCAGTATCTGGTGTCTCTACTAGGCCTGGTTTGTATCCAGTATCTGGTGTCTCCGCTGGATATGGTTTGTATCCAGCATGCGAAGATGTAAGGGAATGCACATACTGTTCAAGGTAGATGAGTTCGTCATATAGCTTCTTAAAATCTTCTCTAGCATCTGATAATACAATAGTTTAAAGTAAGGAACTATTATACAGGAACGCCCAACTCAGATATACGCAAATTGTGTACTGTACTCTTTGGGAGGAATGTAAACAAACCCAGTGTCCCCACAGAAGTTGAAGGGAAAGGACTAGAGCATGAAGTGATATTACAGTCCAACAAAAAACAAGTTAATATATGAAGTCAAAGCGAACACTTATAATTTTTGGCTTTCTGGTCAATTTGGAAAGTACAATAGCAATATATTTTTATTCCACACCTTGGGTCCTTTTCCCTCAAAAATTTTGCGTTGCCCCTGATCTCTTTGTTTTGATCTCCTCCCACTGCAGTACACAGATTTGACGCATCAGATATGGTGGTTCCTGGTCTATATATTTCTTGGTTTAAAGGGATTTATTATTAGCTTTCTCTTGGGGTAAAAAACGGATAAAAAAATTAATTTAATTTTCAGGAATGTTTGTCATCTGTATCACATGTGTCGATAACAAAATCTAAGCGGTCCTGTAAGAAATCTTAAAATATTTTGAGATCAGATAAATGATCATGAAATGGATATGAATGGATGAAATTTTAGAATTCATAAAAAAGTCTCGGAAAGAAAAAGTGGCAGCAAAATACCAATTTTCTAGTAAGGATACATGTATATATCTATATATCAAAAGTAATAATTTCTGTTTTTTTTCTATGTATGTCCAATCGTAACTCGTGAACTCTTTGACAGAAATACTCCAAAAATTGACTGTGGAACTCGATAGAACCATATGGTTTGCTTGGTTAAAAAAATTAAAGTGATTGGCCTTTCATGTAAATTTACTACAGAGTATGTGTTTTTACCTTCGTTAAACCTGATATCTTGGTTAATTATTTTTTGCTCATATTTATCACTTTTGTTGGGTGTTTTAGATTTAGGTGTTGCGTAGGGCGTTTCAGATTTTGGTTCTTGAGAGTTTTTTTTTCGTTCAGGTTCTGGATAGGGGGTTTCTGGTTCAGGTTCAGGATAGGGGGTTTCCGGTTTAGGTTCTGAATAGGTTATTTCAGGCTTAGGTTCTTGATAGGGTGATATAGGGTTTTCTGGTTTAGCCTCTTGATAGGGTGTTTCAGGTTTAGGTTCTGTATATGGTGTTTCAGGTTCAGGTTTTTGATAGGGGGATTTAGGTTTAGATTCTGGATAGGGTGTTTCAGGTTTAGATTCTGGATAGGGTGTTTCAGGTTTAGATTCTGGATAGGGTGTTTCAGGTTTAGATTCTGGATAGGGTGTTTCAGGTTTAGATTCTGGATAGGGTGTTTCAGGTTTAGATTCTGGATAGGGTGTTTCAGGTTTAGATTCTGGATAGGGTGTTTCAGGTTTAGATTCTGGATAGGGTGTTTCAGGTTTAGATTCTGGATAGGGTGTTTCAGGTTTAGATTCTGGATAGGGTGTTTCAGGTTTAGATTCTGGATAGGGTGTTTCAGGTTTAGATTCTGGATAGGGTNCCCCCGCTCAATTTTCTTATTGTGATACGAATCTATAACATTTCAATAATCTGCCAAAAAATGGTAAATTTGCAAAAATCCAAATATTTATTCTGAAATCTAGTTTTTAAGCAAAAATGTGCAAAAAATGCCCAAATTTCAACAAATTATACATTTTTGAAAAGCCCTTGACCCAGCTAAGTCAAATGTGAAAAAACATTTGCAAACTTTTAAAACCTGAATGTGTATTCAAGAAAAACTGAAAATTCCCTTTAAATGCGTCTAGGCAAAAATCTGTGCAAAATTTCTATGTTATAGGCTTTCCAAAGAGCTATAATTGTTGACATCCAATGACTGGAAGCAGGTCTTAATATTGATTTAATCTGGTATAGGTAAAATAAGGCGTTTAGACAGTAGGACTCAGGCAGTAGGTATAAAAGCCCAGCTTTAAGCCTTAAGTGAGGAGCATGTGTTAATTAGAAAAGCCAGAAAATTTGAGCTTCCTAGATCAAATACTTTTTAAGTTATGGCAAAAAAGCGGTAAGGAGGGGAGGGCTAGATAGGGTTAAAGGCCAGTTAAATTATTTTAAAAAATAATTTTAAAAAATCCTGCGAAACACTTTTCTTTTCATGAATTTTAAATCAAGAATTAAAATAAAAATTTTCTCCCTCAGGCTTTTTTTCTGAAGAATCTAAGTTTTTGGCAAAACCTAAAATTAAGTGAGTTTCTTAAACTGCCAGTTTTAAAGTCTCTATTGAAACAAGATTACGGAAATTATTTCTAAATTGTTTATGTATTTTTAGCATTATAAATATGATACTGCAGATTCCACTCAAAGGGATTGTTCACATAAAACCAAAAAATGAGATTTAAAAATGATTAGATTATGATCTCAGCAATGTCAAAGATCTTCCTGCGGCCCAAAACGATTGATCCTTTAAGTGAGAAATTTTGCCTAAGGAAGCTAATATACATAGTATTTATTTTTGGTATTTAGATTTACGAGCAAATGTTCTTTTGGATTCGAACTTCGTTTTAACGAATCCGAATTTACTATTTGTTTCATGTTACATATTTTTATTTCGTTCCTTTGTGAATCCAACGATAAATGATAAAAACTGCTGATCGAATTTGATAGCCCATGCTCGTACCGGCACGGCTTTCCATGATAAGAATGTTTTTTGAATTGCGCATCTAAGCTATTTTTGTCAACTTTGCCCCTTTTAAGGATTAAAACTTTATAAAGATCGATGATAAAGAACGGACGTACATATTCAAAAGAATATTCTTCTTCTTCATAGACAGTAAAAGTTTGATTGCTGGGACTGAATTTAATAAAATTGAACCACCCTCCACCGGTTCAAATTTTGAATCCGCTTCAATTTTAAAGATTCACGAGGATTTTAATCAGTGTTTTAGGATTTGAATCGGCGAGGTTGATAGTTCAGCTACCTCTTCAATTCATTAAATCAAATTCATTAAAAGTGAAAATTCACTAAAGGATATAAATCAGAATAGTCAATTTTTTATAAGAAGATTCATGGAATCAGTTTAGAATTTGGTTAAAAATGTCCTTTTTCTCTTTTCTGGACAATGCATTAGAACATACTATTTTGATTAAAATTCCATGTAAACATACTGATACTGTCCATCATCTATATATTACTTTATCTAGGCCGAGACCTTGGTAACAAATAGAAACAAATATTATGATCCACTGCAAGTAGAAAAGATTAAGCAAAAACTGAAAATCAACCAAGATTTAGCGAAAACTGAAAATCAACCAAGATTTAGCGAAAACTGAAAATCAACCAAGATTTAGCGAAAACTGAAAAATCAATCAAGATTTATCGTAAAAACTGTCAAATCAATCTTAGTCAAGAGAAAACTGAAAAATCAATCGTGGCCAAGAAAAACTAAAAAAATCAACCAGGATCAAGTGAAAACTAAAAAATCAATCAGGATCAAGTGAAAACTGAAAAATCAATCAGGATCAAGTTAAAACTGAAAAATCAATCAGGATCTAGTGAAAACTGAAAAATCAATCAGGATCAAGTGAAAACTGAAAAATCAATCAATTATTATATAAATTCATTATTATTCATTATATTATTATATAAATTCATTATTATCCATTATATTATTATATAAATTCATTATTATTCATTATATTATTATATAAATTCATTATTATTCATTATATTATTATATAAATTCATTATTATTTATTATATTATTATATAACCATTATACGCGTTTTCGCAAATAATTAGTTTTTTCACTAGAAAATGTATATAGTAGATAAATACGGGATTCTTTGTTTTTCTTGATCTATCAAATGTTAAAAGGGTACTGTTGTAAATATGGCCTGGCCTTTTTTGCATGGAAAATCACTTGAAATTACTCGTACAGTTCCTTTAAGTTCCTTTGAACTTTTGAAGCTGCGATCAGAAACCTCTGACAGCTTGGAAAAGTAAAAGACAGGATCAGAAACCTCTGACAGCTTGGAAAAGTAAAAGACAGGATCAGAAACCTCTGACAGCTTGGAAAAGTAAAAGACAGGATCAGAAACCTCTGGCAGCTTCGAAAAGTAAAAGACAGGATCAGAAACCTCTGACAGCTTGGAAAAGTAAAAGACAGGATCAGAAACCTCTGACAGCTTGGAAAAGTAAAAGACAGGATCAGTGATCTTTTTGAGTACATGACGCATAGTGGCATTGTGTTCAATGATATTTTTTAAGGCAACATTATGACAATTCTTTTGTTGTCTTCTTTAATATGGGATATACTGCAGTATGTAGATACAATTATATAACCAGAACATAATTGCTGACTGTCTATGGAGAATTATCGACGTTTGTATAATTAACACTCCTATGGAGGCTAAATGAAAAACCGTAATGAATCTTGATTGTCAAATATGTTCTTCTAACCCTCATAAGGGGCATCAGTCTAGTTGTGCTTAAAGGGACTGTAAGCGTAGTTTTAAGTGAACCTCCGTGCACAGTTTTGCAATGTCCGATTTACAACGGTACCCTTAAAACTTTACATGATCGATAAATTATGAATTAGAACTCCATGTTTTTGTTTTTGAAAACTGATTATTTTGATTTGTTGTTACACTGCGAAAAGGACTTGCGAACTTCTTGCTAGTTAGTAAGACTGGATCGAAATTATCAGAATTAAACAATTCTTGAATCAGAAAACTACTTTATCTTCAATTTTTTATAAGAGCGCTGTGGCTAGGATGGGCTAGGGGGCCGAGCGCTGCGACTAGCACTGACTTGGGAAGTTGCACAATCGGGAAAATACCCTTGGGAAGTTGCCGCTTGGGAAAATACCCTTGGGAAGTTGCCTGGGAAAATACCCTTGGGAAGTTGCCGCTTGGGAAAATACCCTTGGGAAGTTGCCACTTGGGAAAATACCCTTGGGAAGTTGCCGCTTGGGAAAAGCCTTTGGGAAAGTACCTAACATAGCCTACCTAGCCGGTACGAGTATCTGTATGACCTATCTAGCTGGTTGTACAAGATTCGATAAAAATTCTTCATTATGTATCCATCTATCTTATATGTACGTACTCTAAATTCTATCTGAGTTTTATATTAGCCTAACTGTCTTTTATATATAATCGAACACAATGATAGAATTTCATCTAACAGTATGGAAGGTCGTTGAAACTATCCGTACAATATATTATATTAATATTATAATAATATTATAAAACTGGCCCCATTCCATTTATGAATGTATTTGTTATATTTTCTTTATGTATGGGAAGCTTAGTACGTGACGGGGATTCTTTATCTACCAACTTTCCCAGCAAGATATATTTTGTGCAAAATATATTTTGTGCAAAATATATTTTGTGCAAAAAGAAAAACAAGTTTTTAGAATATATCTGTGCTCATGGTTTTGTAGCCATAGCAACAACAAACTTAATTTTAGTTTTGCCAAAACAAACTTTTACTGATCTTTCAAGATTTGAATATGTAGGATTTTTTTTATAAAAATTAAGTAAAAATATTTCAGAAAGACTGAATATTTTAATTGAATTAAATTAGAATAATTCTAAGTATAAATCTATAAATAATTTTGGAAAATTTTCAATGGGAAATTCAAGTTGAATTCCTTGCGCATAATTTTAGAATATTTCGTGCCCTGGATACTCTTAACATTGTAAAGTCGATTTTAAAACAAGAATTGTGTTAAATTTAGGATAAAACTTCAGTTACGCCTTTACACTTTATTCACAAAACTTAAAATATCAGTTTAAATAATGTTTAAGAACTTTAAACTTCCTTTTTAAATTATTATATTTCATAATACTATAGAAACAACCAAGAGGGAATATGTAAACGAAGTGACCCAACTATTAAATAGTTGGCGTGTTCAGGCGGAATTATGGGGCTCAGCCCCCCCCCCCCACTGGACCAGTGAAATCTATGTATTTGATGGGGGTTTCAGGCTCCAATGGGCGCTGAGTCCTCCCCCCGGCCCCCCCTGTAAAGAAAAAAAGTTTAAGCCCCCCCCTCTATGGACAAAATCCTAAATACGCCCCTGACAGTTGTATTCCCGCTTCACGACGGTAACCCGGTCTTTATCCAAGCAACAATTCTGTCAATTCCTTTCTTTCTCTTAGCGGCATAAATCCACACGTCATTTTTATAGACAATAAATAAATAATAAATAAATTTTTATCATAAAAGCACAAATTTATAGCTAAGCTATATAATCAATCAAGACATTTGTATATATATATATATATATATGTTGTCTATAGCCGGCCAAACGTCTGGACGGATTGGACTGAATTTTTTTCTAGACACTCGATTTTTTTTTCAAAATATTTTTTTTCAAAATTATTTTTTAAAATTTTTTTCACGGGCAACGCCGGGCCCTTAAGCTAGTAAATAAATACTAAATAAATTTTTATCACAAAAGCATCAATTTTCTGAGAGAAATAAAAAGAATATCTTCCTCGTTTTTGCTAAGATAAAGGTTTTAATGGTACTGTTGCTAATCGGGTATACAGCTTGTTTAATATGCGCGTAACTTTTTCTCCAATTTGCGGAGAAATTAAAGAGATTGCTGATACAATTCACAAATGTCCTTTCTCCCTCCCTAGCTTAAAACTTCTGTTTTCCCAAACGTCGTTTAAAAGCAGAAATTGAATCCAATCAATTAATTATTTTTATTTATTTCTAAAGCTGGACATTTAGAAAATTCCTGTTAGTAAACTGTTAGTAAATACTCCAAGCAGGAGTAACAGTGATATTTTCATCCTGTAATCACACACTGATATATACTCTAGCACACAACATTATAAACTAAACTACTAAAACAATTATTAAGGAAAGGAATTAGAAACCGGAGATGGATTGAGGAAGGTGGGAATCGAAGAATATAGAGATAATATATCAATATTTATATTTATAATATATATACCGATGGTTAATCAGTTTTTTCATATCCCTGAATGTTAGAGACAAATTAGAGATAAATGACAAAGATTGCTTCAAGGAAATGCTTAAAGTATGAAGAGTATTTAAAAATGGGGTTCCGTTTGGAACTCCCAAGATCAGGAATTTACTAAAACAAGCACACTGTAAACTCCGGTCCATTTCAAGTACCGGTCCGAATTTTCGGCAGCTATGGCAAGCTGTACAGTACACATATAGACTATAAAAGGCAAAGCGGAACAGTACACCAAATGAACTTATGTGAAATTATGTGAGGAACTGCTAGTATTTCTTCAAGTTACAATCAAGAAAATAATGGTGTTCGGAAAACAATAACTGTTAATTAAAGACGATCTAAATGTTGGAGCACTCTGTAGTCAAAGAAATTGGTCACCTATTTCAGTTCAATAACAAAGAAATTGGTCACCTATTTCAGTTTAATAACAAAGAAATTGGTCACCTATTTCAGTTTAATAACAAAGAAATTGGTCACCTATTTCAGTTTAATAACAAAGAAATTGGTCACCTATTTAAGTTTAATAACAAAAATATCCAAATTTTGTATAATATAAGCGCTGAACTGTAACTGATTTGCAAGTAGTAAAGTAAAATCGTTAATTTTTCTGTTATAAACAAAAATGAATTTATATAATTAATTCCCTCCACGGTTCTTTAGCAAATTGCAATAGAAATTTTTTATTTTTTCCTTTTACAGATATTTTTAATCAGCCGAGGGTTTAAGTGGTTCCGCTATGAATCGGAATACGACCCCTTTTAATTGAAATTACGTCAAATTCACTAATTTACCAGAAATTCGGACTTATTAAAAAGATGAAAAAAAAAATGTTTTGAATATCTAATATGTAATATATGTAGACTAACTACAGACTGGATAGATCCATAGAGGTTGCAAATACGGCGAAAATCACTGTTTTAAATCTGGTTATTTTAACGAAATATTGAAATACAGCCAAGCATTATATCATGGGGTACAAGTGATTACAGTACAGTACGAGGACTCGACCGGCCCAGTAAAAACACCCCCCAATTTCTAGATGGGAATAATGAGAGCGCATTGTGAGTAAATTCAAAACCAAAGAAGCTCCGAAGTCACAAAGTCGTACCAAAGTCTTCTTTCCATTTTTCTAGTTTACTGGAATGATAAATTTTAAGAAAATTGAAATAAAACTTGTCTTTATATTAGTTAATAAGCACAGTGACATGAGTAGAGAAAATTGAAATAGAATAAAATTTACATTTTCAAAAGTTTCTTTCAACTAATTTTCATCATATAAATTTTTGTAAACACAGGCAATCCCAAACTACGATAGGTAAAAATACATAAAGGAAATAGATTTGCGATCATAAGTGTTTTTTTTCTGTATCTTTTACCAATACAAATTTTTTTGAGCTTTCTCTTGGCTTTAGTATCCAGCACTAAATTCTCGGTGTGCATACAGCTGTCACAACAACTTTTAAATTTTTGTTTTAACATTGTTATAATTTTTTTTTTTTAACTTCAATATGATGGCACAATTTTGATGCTACTTAGCCATGCAATAAATATAAATATAACTAAAATTATCTTTTGTAAATACTTTTTTTAAAGCTATATTTTTATATGTATTTATGTAAAATACAAGTTAAATATGCAACCCATCTTTAAAAAAGAGATTTTTCTTAAAATGCTATAGGTTGCCGGGAGCTAAGCTATCTAGAATCTAGGCAGAATCAGGCCCTGTGCCAGAATAGGCTTTAGTTGCTTTAGTTTCCAGGTTCACGCTGACCTGCACTCATACACGGTAATATATACTACTCTAGACTCTAGAACTAAACAATAATATTTTAATATCTAATTAAATATCTAGTTTTTCAATGTTTTTATTTACATTTTTACTGAAAAATAAACAAAAATTAAGAATTTTGTTTAATTAATTTTGATTTTGATTATACAAAAAAAAATTGGGTAAACTAACTTGAGTTGACCTTCATCAGCTGTACTGTGTAGTCAACATTGATGGGGGAGATATTTTAATCAAATAGATATAAAAATATCCTTATTTTTATATGAGAAAGCTCTAAGAATGTTCGCTAGTATGTACTAGCCAGCACTTGTTTAAAGGTTAAACACAGTTGTAAACACCAGAAATAGATATGAGTAGATGGCCTCTAAATCAACATTTATAATAATATTTTGTTTATTTTTATGATTTATAATAATCTCTTCTTGTTTTCTTTGTCAAAAATGCCTGACTTTGTAAATTCATTGATTATTCACTAGAACTTATCAGCATTTTTAGTGAAGTGAGTTCCTGGAAAAATATAAAAAAGAATTATATTGTATTTGTAAAATTAAAAATATAAAAAATTGCCCAAACAAATTCATCTCATGAAAGTAATTCTCTTAATACTCTAAAATATTGTAATTTCTCTATGTTAAGTTTTACCAAATTTAAACTGCTTGCCAAATATAGATGGGAATTAGATGACGACATTTAAATCGTCTTTGATTTAAAAGCAGATTAAGGACAAAGCAATATATGTAGTATAGAAATAAAACTGTTTTAAGCGTTATTTTTCTAAAAGTGGTACACCGTCGTTGTATCTTAAACTACGAAAGACATATTTTAAATCTAAACAATTTGTTTTTAATTTTATAATAGTTAAATCTTTCTTAAAGATGGTAAACAAAGGGATTGTACGTTAATTATTTAATGTTAAAGATGACTTCTGCTGGATCATGGAGGAGGCCTAGGATGAAGGTTTATGATTACAATCAGGAGTTCGGGGGTAATTATTATCAGGTACATAAACATATAGTTGTACACAGTACACAGTACAATCAGGAGTTCGGGGGTTATTATTTCCAGATACATAAACATATAGTTATACACAGTACACAGTACAATCAGGAGTTCGGGGGTTATTATTTCCAGATACATAAACATAAAGTTATACACAGCACACAGTACAATCAGGAGTTCGGGGGTTATTATTTCCAGATACATAAGCATATAGTTATACACAGTACACAGTACAATCAGGAGTTCTGGGGTTATTATTTCCAGATACATAAACATATAGTTATACACAGTACACAGTACAATCAGGAGTTATTTTTATTTAATTTAATTTCATAGACAGGAAATTTCATAGACGGACATATCATAGATTATAGATCTCTGAAATGTCCTATTTCTTAAATATTCTATCTATTTAATTTATTTCATCTATCTAGTCATCAACTTAATTCATAGAACTGACATTTCATAGATTTATAGACGGGACATTTCAAACTGATTTATCGTAGAAATAACATTGTATAGACAGGACATTTCAAACAGATTGATCGTAGAAATAACATTGTATAGACAGGACATTTCAAACAGATTGATCGTAGAAATAACATTTTATAGACAGGACATTTCAAACTGATTGATCGTAGAAATAACATTGTATAGACAGGACATTTCAAACTGATTGATCGTAGAAATAACATTGTATGATTTATAAAATAGGATAAAAAAGTGTTCTTTTATCTTTTTTTACTTTATCTATGAAATGGCTTGTCGTTGAAATGTTCTACATTGATAACCAGAATGCAGTGGAATAGGAAGACGACATTATAGCAATACTTGTGTATTTGATGTTGTTTCACTTATAGACACTTATTAAATCACTAATTTATTAAGTTATTATGTGTTTTATATGCTCATTGGGTTTTCAAAGTTATGACTTGATTCTAAAAGTCGTCTTACTACTTCAGAGTTTTCTGGTTATCACTGTAAAAATGAAATGTTTCTCTGTGATATGTCCCCACACCTATACATTGGATTGTGTTCGGTTCGGTAGTTTCTTGGCTAAGTCGATCACCTTAAATCAATTTCTTGTACGTACTGCAGTGATCTAGTACAATGACCGAATGAATAGCGGGTTTTCGTGGAGAGTGGACTGTAGCTTAAAGTGTAAAATGTACTTAAAGACTACAGATTACAGACTAGACAAGGGACTAAATATTTTAGACTAGTAGCTATGAGAGAATAGATGCTACCCATAACTCAAAATAAATAAGTTGTTTTAATTTTCAATTTTATCTTCAATTACGTCTCTGAATATTTGGTGTTACCAAAAAATGTTATGCTTTTTTGCCAGAGCGTAAGAAAATAAAGTTAATTATTATTTGAAATTCACAGAAGTTATTTAAAGTTAAATTCATTTAATTTAATCAACCGTGCTTTTATTAGGAAGAGATAATTGAAATTGCTTTATTAGCTTTGAACACAAAGTTTCAAAGGTTAAGAGTCCAGAGCTGGGAACTTTAGAATGGATAAACTTTAATCCTGACTTCTTAATCCGAATATCCACTGTGGAAACTTTTCATTTTTGTCCTAATCCACTCTTTTTCTCTCTCCTTGGATATCCGTTAATTGTTTTCTCCAATAAGAATATTTCTGTTCTCTCATTGGTTGCCCGCTTTTCTCTGATTGGCTGCTACAGTTTCTCTGATGATTACTGCAGTGTTTCGTACACTTTTAAGATAATCTTGCAAGATTATGTTAATCTTGAAATTATCAAAAAGAGAGGATCAAGCATTAATCCCGATATCCACCATTCTAAAGTTTTCCGCTCTGAGCTGAAAACTTTAGAATGGAGTATCCTAAATCCCGATCTGTCAATTAATCCGGAGATTAATAACAAGAGGAGAACAAGCCATATTTAATCTGGAGATCAAGCAATTATCTTGGTATCCACCATTCTAAAGTTTTCAGCTCTGAGCTGGGAACTTTTGAATGGTGGATATCTGGATTAATGCTTAATCCACACTTTTTCTTAATCTCCATGTTAAATAATACTTGTTCTCCTCTTGTTATTAATCTCCAGATAAATGAACCGATCGGGATTTAGAATATCCCATTCTAAATTTTTCAGGTCTGAGGTTAGAACTTTTGTAACGTCAACCCATTCTAAATTACACTAATCCCTATCTTTAAAGTCCGACGGTTTAAATCATTGCTTTTTAGATATCTCGAAAAGGTTCAACCAATTATTTGCTGTCTGCAAACAATAAAATGTTAGTCAAATATTTTCACGGATAAAGCACGTAATCGCTCAAACTAAAGATATCTATTCTTGATATAGAGTTGAGGTTGTTGTTACAAAGTTTCGTCCTCTGGTATACACTATACAGATATATTTAACCTTGTTCACTTGATATTTGATCTACTACAGTTTAAAGAATTAATCACACTTTTCTCTTTTGTAAAATCAATATCATAATACTACACTGCAATATGTCATTAGTACGCTGGAAATACCTTTTTAATTGCTGGAAAGGTTTGACAATATGTAACAAAAAATTTAAAAAACGAGCAGTTTTTAAATGGTAAAGTCCTTCCGAGCAGGTGACATAAGATGGAACTAATGAATAGTGAGAAGAAGTTTAACTAGGTATGGCTAGTTGATCCACTTCTTCTTGCTTATCAAGTTAATCTCGGATGTAGTTCAACTAGACAGAGCAAGTTCGACTCATTTTTTCTAATTTTAATGCATTAATTATTTTCTTCATGAACAAAATGAACGATTTAACTCTTTTCCCATTTAACAAAGAAACTTTGTGGTTTTTAAAAATCAAATTTATAATATCTATCTCTATGCAAAGTATATGCATATGCAATGCATATCTAAACAAGTTTATTTGGTAGAAATTAATTAAAAGTTTAGATTTGTTACAAATAAATATGTATACATTTAGTACGTAGGGTATAATTATGAAAATCCAATATCAAGGAATGTTTCTACAATATTTTGTGTTTATATTTTCTTGACATATTTCTTAATTTTGAAAAGCCCAAATATGTTCTACGAATAAAGGTTAAAGGGAGTGACTAGCTATGTAAGGTAGTTGAACTGAGTATGTAGTGTTGTGGAAAACTTCTTTCGGATTCATTTGAGACATACTAAACTTTTTAAAAATCTGTAAATCCTGAGTTTGAGCGCAAATTCGACGTTCAAAACTCCTACTTTGGGGTGGATACGTTTTCAGAATTAGTTCGTTTTAATACTTAAATAACGACAACGAAAAATAAAGTAACATTATACAGTAATCTAATTAGATGGTTAGGAACATATTTCTCAAAAGAAGTTTTGTCAATAAATCAATGCCAAAATCGATTATTTCTTTTTCATTATTATATTGAATTTCTTATTTTCTTTCTACTTATTTTCGATGATAAGATTAATTTTTATTTTCTCAACATGCATGACGTCTGTAGTTTATTGTAGAACTTTTTTACATTTTATGTCGTCGTTATTTAATAATTTAAAAAAACTAATTCTGAAAACGTATTCACTCCCAAAGTAGGAGTTTCTACAACACTGCATACTCAGTTCAACTACCTTACATAGCCGGCCACTCCCTTTAAAGTTTAATGTTTTGAACTGAAATTATTTTTGATAAGGAAATACAGAACTGCAGTGCACACCCCAGTTTAGGAAATATTGAAAACATCAATATGGTATTCTAAACGTACTCTATGGTTTCTAACTTATATCAAATGAAATTAAATATTATACATGAAGAATTTATAAAGTTTTACAATATATAATTATCACAAAATACGATAAATCCACATAAGGGGAAAAAGGATCCCATGTAAACAGCTTAGTGTGAAGATGGNCCCTGGAAAGTGTACGAGACGGTGGAGTTATAGAGTTATTAAGTCATAGATTGGTATCAGTTTACTCGATCATGATACCCTGTACAAATAGTACAAGGTATATCTAATCCAAGGATAATTGAATACAAGGAGGGGGCGATAATGTTTCCGTACACTTTGCTGTGACGTTTTTGGACTGCTGAAGAACTAGTTTTAGCGTAACAACAATAATAAAGGCAGCCGATCTAATGTAAACAAACATGAGTTAGTATACGGCAAATCTTCATCTAACGCCAAAGATGCGCCAGATGTCTGTTTATCATTTGTGTTATTGTTTACAATCTTTATTATTGGTGTTACGCAAAAACTAGTTCTTCAGCAGTCCAAAAACGTCACAGCAAAGTGCACGGAAACCTTATCGCCCCCTCCTTGTATTCAATTCTCCTTGATCTAATTAAACGCGTATTACTACCAGGGCCGCGCATTACTACCAGGGCCGTGCATTACTACCAGGGCCGTGCATTACTACCAGGGCCGTGCACATGAATTGGACCATAGAGGGGGGGAGGAAGGTTGCTTAAACATTTCTTTCAAGGAGGGGCTCAGTGTTCGCTGGGGCCGGAAAACCCCGGAAACCATGAATTTTTCTGATTCAGGGGGGCTTAGCCCCCATCCATACCCTCTGATTACTAATCTCTATTTCTAGCCGATGATCCAGTACTTGAATAAGAAGGAGATCTATGGACCTTACCACACTAGGACACCAGTATACCTACCACACAGTGCTGAGGTCACATCAGACAAGTTTAACAACATGTAAGTTTTTAAAAAGGGTGTCCCACCAAAAATGACAGTTGGTAAATAGTTTAAAATGTCGTCTGCAATAAGTTTTTAGTACCTAAGAGAACAATAAAAATATTATATTGCGGTCAAATTATAACAAATTAAAATATATTTGAGTAATTGATTTGTTTAACAAAAAAAATGCAAAAAGTCGTTAATATCTGATACAGAATATGGAGGAAGACATTAAAAATATTCACCAACAGCTGGGACCCTGTAGTTTTTTTACTTAAAATCATATTTTAGATCAGGACCCAGGAACTATTTTCTCTCCTCAAACTCTAATTTTCTAATCCCTTGTCATAGTGTAATACTTTGATATTTCAAACTTCGACTTGTTAATCTTGTAGAATTCCTAGTTTTAAATATAAAAGATCTACGACATTAGATTGCAAAGGTATGTGTGAAGTAATCGGAGATTTAAACAGTTTTTAAAAACAATTAGGTTTCTAAATAGCTCTCTTTACGTTTTCATTTATAATATTTGGAAAGTTCTTTAGATAAATATTATAAATAATAGAAAATAATCTTACTCTTTAGAAAACATTTCAATAATAAACATGTTGGACCTGATAGTGAGCCATGTGTTGTGTGAAAAGGTTTACTTTCTTTGTTAAATAGGCGGTATACTGATAAATCGTCGGCCAAACATAATCTGGACGATTTCTTGAAAAATGCGTACAGAAAGCAGATCAAAGAGACCAATGGCACAACAGGTTGGACAATTTACTTTATTCCTAATTTTTATGAATAAAAAAAATAGTTGAAAAATATTTTGGCCAAAATTAAAATCAAGTATTACAAGTATGTAAAAAAACGTTTTTAACCCAGAACCTCGGAGGCATCAAAAGAATTTAATAAAATGTCGTCTTAACAATTTTTCCATTGTTTTTACACTTTCATATCTAAATCTCGTTAAATGTGAAAAATCAATAAACATCCATGAAATATTCGAGAACAGGTTTAAAGAGCTCCATATAATTATTTAATTAAAAAACTAAATATCTGCAGCATTCCATTATCAGTTGGTTTAGAAGACGACATTTTATACATTCGTTCGATGCTCCGAAGTTCTGGGTTAAGCTATATATATAAAACTGACTATGATGAACATAATAATTATGATATATATATATATATATATATATATATATATGTATATATATATATACATATATATATATATATATATGTATGTGTATATATATATATACGAGAATGTGAAATCTAAAAGTATAAAAAGAAGGATAATAATGTAAGAACAAAGGTTTTCTTGGTAAACTATTACTGAACATGAAAAATAAATGACAAATCGTTGTTGTTTAGAAAATAGTAATTTTTCCTTTTTGCACAATTTATTTCAATATCCCATCTTCTCCCCTTGCAACATTTAATTTTTCTTCATTTTTCTTTTTGCTCAAAAACAAATAATCACATTTCTATATTTTATACAAATCAATTTTTACTAAGAGCATAAAAAAAATGAAATGATCATCCTTTGCTTGCTTGTTCTACCCCTTTTTAAAAACTTCCAATCGATCCAAGCTTTATACATATTAACATTTTAAACACAATTTTGCTAGCAACAATGTGTTTGAAATTATGCATGCACCTTTAGAAATTTCTCTATTTAAAAAAAAGTTTTTTATTGCCCCCCCCATGGATGGCTGTAGTTGTTATTTCATGAAGACTGAATCTAATAATGTATTCAACTAAGTAATTTAACAATATCAAATTACTCCTAATACCCAAATTATAAAGTAAAGCTGCATGCACGTTTTTTGTGGAAGACTTTTGTGCGTCATCCTTAGATTTTCCTCATCAGTGCGTCCACTTTATAGTGTTTTCTGCAGTGCATCAAATTTTGTGCGTCCACTTTATCGTGTTTTCTGCAGTGCATCAAATTTTGTGCGTCCACTTTATAGTGTTTTCTGTAGTGTATCAAATTTTGTGCGTCCACTTTAACTTTTAGCTTCCGCTTTATTGCTAAGATATTGAAAAGAAGAACCAGTTCTAAGACGAAAACCATGTTTTTTACAATTTATGATCTTATTTATACCAAAATCGTATAATTGATAAAAGATTGGATAGATTTGTTTTTTCAGTTTTAGTTTTGAATTTGAGAATAAGAGGAGAGAAAACCAATACACATCTGACCCCTACAAGGAGAATACAAAGATCTTTTTCATACAAAACTTTTTTTAAACTTTACAGTGTGTTGAGATTATAATTTGGGTAACTTCGTAGACATACACAAATATGAATGATTTGGCATGTCCGATTCACAACGATACGATGAGTTTATATAAGTGCTAATGCGGAAGGAATGGTTGCTTTTCTGACAATTTCCTTGATTTTCTCACAGAGTAACCACAATTGAAAATAATCATTTTTTTGAGAATTACTAAAGAATAGGTCCTTTATTTGTTATCTGATGATAAAGATATTTGATGGGTACTATTGTGAATTAGACATCCCATTCTATAATTGTCGCTTGAAATTACGACTTTTATGTTTCGACAAAAATAATTTTTTTTTTCAATATGTTTCATCTTTGTTGGTTGTAGAAGTAGCAAACTTATAAGGTGTATTTCAAATTAAATATAAATATTTTTGCAAAATTTTTCAGATAAATAAACTTTAACTTTTTCGGCAGTGATGACCATAATGACTTTTGGAAGAAAATAAACAATTTTTTGCGGAAAAAGTAATAACAAATGGTCAAACATTGGTAATCAAACCAATAGTCAAATTTTTCATTTTTCTACTAATTGCTTCATTAATGAATCCTCGCAATATAGTTCCTTTAACAGAATTATTGTGTTCCTTCGTTTATCACTGCAAGAGCAAAATTTCCGACCATTTTCTTACAGATTAACACAGAACTTCGAAGACATCGACTAAATTTCTAAATTGTCGTTTTCTTAAAGGGACCGTTCACTTATTCGGGTAATTTCAGGGTAAACTGAACTGCCTATTCGCTCTTGATTGGTAATAGTCTTACTTTTTAAATACAACTGTGGCCGGAGAAAAAGCCGATTTTTCGGACAGAATTTGAGCGGAAAGGGATGTTTTTTTCAGTAACAGCAGCCCAATAACATTTAAATTTATTATATTTTAATGTCATTATGTGTTCGTTATTATGAACTAAAATATGAAAACTTTTGATATTTGAGTTAGCAAGAAATTTACGTTTTTCGTATTAAAACATGTAAAATATGTATACAAAGACGACGTCTCTACGACAATCAATTAATCATTACTCGTATTTTGGTTTTTGTAGATTTTGTTTACGTATGTGCACAACTTTTCATTTGTCATGCCGCGTTCAATTCCGCTTTTTACACAGGCAATACACAATTTTGAATGCGATAAAATAGTGTTATTTTAGAAATTGAAAGTTAAAAAACAACAAAAATTTAAAAATAATGACATTTACAATTAACGATCAGATACTACAGTTTACTTTTATATTCGAAATTTATTTTGATTCACAACATACTGAAAAAAACATCAATTAGTGTCTATAGAGAGGGACCGTCCCTTTGCGCTCGAATTCTGAACGAAAAATCGGCTTTTTCTCCGGCCACAGTTGTCTTTGAAAAGTAAGATTATTACCAATCAAGAGCGAATAGACTGTTTAGTTTACCCTGAAATTACCCAAATAAGTGAACGGTCCCTTCAACCTTCTGATATATAATAAAATGATGAAGATATTTAGATCTTTAATTTGATAATTATATGGAGCTCTTTAAACGTTTCTGCATATTTTATGACTATTTATTAATTTTACAATTATGTAGATTTAGGTATGATGGGATGGTATACAAACCCATAGAAAAATAGTGAAGTGTACATTTTATAAATTCTGGGTTAATCTGTATACAAATAATTACTAGTCTGCGAAGATCTTCCATTGAAATGACATGTATTTGAATATACTGGTTACGGTAGGGATCATTACATAAAGCAGATAGAACAGATGATTCTACGGAACAAACTTGGAATCCCACTCTTTTACTAAATCTGGAAACAATCTTCATTTTTAAGTAAATATTTAGGTTTTCTAGATCATAGATACTATAGAGCTTTTGGGAATTATAGGGTCTTCTAGAATATAGATTCTAGATTCTAGAGTTGTCTTAGAGATTCTAGAAAATTCTTGAATGTAGGGATTTTAGTTTTTTAGATCAGAGATACTGGAGTTTTGTAGATCATTAAGATTGAAGTTTTCTTGATTATACAGGGTGTCCCTCAAAACATGACAGTAGCAAGACGACTTGAAAGTTATCTTTGAACTTTGAATTTATTTGTTACATTTAGTCGTCAATCCACCTTCACATGTATGATTCTTAAAACAACGACCATAAAATTCTCCTAGTCCTGGTATTTCCAAAATGTGGTCTGCCTTTTTTGTACTCTCAATATTATCAGAGATACCGGTAATTAGTGAATATTAACTCTAGAAATTTACTTCTAAAATTAGGTTTACGAATAAATTTGGCAAATTATTTCAAGGAATAAAGACGACCTTCAATTTGTCATGCTACTGTAATGTTTCTTGGGACACCCTGTACATTTCAGACACGTGTTTTGACTTTCAGATCATAGATTTGAAAGTTTTCTAGATATTGAAACGAAAAACTATAATAGCTCTCTTACTCTACTTCTAGTATACATGTAAAATATTGACATTACATATTTTTTCAATTAAACAATTGAAAAGTAATGATCATTTTCATGAGATAAGTCTATACAATCCAACGATTAGAGCTATAGCAAAAACTACAACGGATTTAAATCTAGCTTGTTTGAAAATAAATGAAAAAACAGATCGTTAAAATTTGTTTACTGTTCGCAGAAAAAACGCATTTGTAATAAATAATTGAATGTTTTCATCTTGATTTTAAATCAAAAGTGTTCAAAGAAGTTAATGTTTTATCAAAAGTTTCCATTTGTAACAGATGTAACATCTGTATTCTTTTTTTTATTAAATATATTAAATATATATATAAATGTATTAAATATACATATAATTTTATAACATCGTCTTCTTTTAACTCTCATATTGCGTTTACTGCATGTTTTTCGCTGTAAAGTAGATTTTAATCTTGTACACTACAATCAGCTGATTTATTGTTTTAGTAAAGCTGCAGTACACTATAATCAGCTGATTTATTGTTTTATTAAAGCTGCAGTACACTACAATCAGCTGATTTATTGTTTTATTAAAGCTGCAGTACACTACAATCAGCTGATTTATTGTTTTATTAAAGCTGCAGTACACTACAATCAGCTTCATGACGCTGGTGGGCGGATGTGTTCACCCTACTCTGACCGCCAACTACTCGGATGTTTTGCTAAAAATGACAGGAATAGGAACAATTGAGATAATTTTAGTAAACGGAATTGTAGACCACAGAAATTTCAATTTATTTGGCGTACAGTCCCGTTTTGGATCATAAAGTCTGTATTTGTACTGTACAGCTTTCTCTGATCTACCTAATTAAACGGCCTAGTCCTTGAAATGAACCGGAGTTTACAGTGAAACATATTTGAAGTGAACATTTTTTTAAAACTGCATTTCCGATTCACAACGGTACTCTTTAACCCTTGGTCTGATCAAGGTGTACCAGATAATATTGAGAAACTGGAGTGTACGCTAGCGTATATTTTAAACTAACTTCAAATGTGTACAACGCGGATTTAAAAATTCGAATACAAATATTAATTTTCTTTGACTCCGGTGCCCGAATTTAAAGAATTGGTTCCACTTAAAAATGTATTAAATTTTTCAAGATTTAAGCAGACGCTCAATTGAAACCGGTTTTTGGCAGATTTAAGCCGTGGCTTAAATTCATTAAATTCGGACACCGGAGAGTAAATAATAATATTTGTTTAATAACAAAAGTTATACATGTTTCTGTGGATTAAACAAGGTTAATTTGATCAGTCAAAAGTTTGATGGTTACTGATGTGAATCGTACACACCAATCTGTAAAGGAAGGTCCACTTGAAATTCCGACTACTGTCCATTTAAGGTTGTAAGATTTTGGTTTTCAAACGGGGGACCTCATTGATACTTATCTATATCTCACGTATATGTATGCAAAACAATGTACCCTAATGGACATTCCACAGTGGTACATATATATATATATATATATATATATACTACGCTATCCAACTGTACTTCCCACTAACAAGCATACCTTGAACGTTGGAAAACTTTGAAATTATTGTCGTCTTCGTTTTTTATTTTATTATGAAGCTTCGCTAAAAATGTTTGGAGCATATTTTCATGATGGCTTCCAACTGTTCTCCTACCTGTTATACAGATGCAGAAAAGAATATCTAAGAGAACTGTCATTACTTCAATCACAGGCATAGGCTCACAGTCACAAAATAAATGATAAAACTGTGGAATAGGAAGACGATTATTAGATTTATAATATTTTAATATAGATTAAACAGTTTACACAAACGGTCTTTTCTCCTGTAAGTTGATTTGAAGCTACTGGAAAAACTATTTGCCCTATAACAACAATAAAGGCATAAAACAGTACTTAAATGTCGTCTTTATAGTCCACAGTTTTATTGGTCTTCCTGTACATATAATTTTTAGTTCATACATGTAATAAAATACACTTCGGTAAAAATTGCTTTAATTCAAATGTGATGGATCAGAAATCCTATAAATGTTAATTACAATTTATTTTATTTAGATTTATTTTTATTCTAAATGGGAATTCATTGAAATATGCTGCTTCCTTTATGAATTAACTTGAGTTATAACTAGAATGTTGAGAATCTATCTATATATATATATAAAGTTGTAATCTCTGTTTGTTTGTATGTCCGATCATAACTCATGAACCCCTGTACTGATTTGCTTCAATTTTGATTGGGGAACTCAGGAGAATCACGGGGATGTTCAACTAGCTTTGTTTTGAGATTCCAAGTTGAGTGGGTCCACTTGTACAGGGAAAAAAACTAAAATTGTAATTTAAGACCAAGCACAGGTAAACGACTGGAGTTCCTATGAATAACCTGGGCAACATAAACATAAAGTTTAACATGACCTACATCATTTATACTTGATATTACGTAAGGGACTAAAAGCATATATCTCTTTCCACTGCAAAATTCAGCTGATACTATGACGTCATGGTTCTGAAGAGACAATTCATGATTTTTTAACAGTGGCAATTTTATCTTTTCCTAAGTGGTAGGCAATAACAATACAATGAAGACGACTTTTTTATTTCAGTTTTGATCGCTAACTAGCTTTTCTCGAATAACAAATTTACAAGTAATCCTTGAGAAGCTTTTTGAATTGACAGTTTCTCTTGACTTCTTTATTTATGTGTATCAATCTATTTAGTTTTCTTTCTGTTTTGACATTTCTGACACCATTTTAAATTAAACTTTTAGTTTTGATCATTTATAGATGTCGTCTTTTTAAAATTTGGATGAAACTATTTCACAATAATCCTGAGGCAGGAGCCCTGAGGAGTTTTGCGCAGTCGGCGTAGAACAGGCTCTCTGTCTGTCTTGTAATTATTCACCGACTGGGCTTCTGCCTCAGGGTTAATGTGAACGAATTTCATCCAAATCTTGAAAAGACGACATCTATTGTCCTATCTGTTATTTTAATTATCTAAATAGAAAACATGGGCTAACAAAATTTCTATTATAAATAAGCCTCAAACTAAATTCCAATTTTAATTTTTCTCTGGGGGAGAGGCTGCATGACATTGACGAGACTTTTTTATTCAGCAAAAATTTAAAAATTTTATTTCAATTTTGATTTACAATTAATCAACCTTCTTTTTTAATACTTGTAAACTTGTAATTCGAAAAATGCTTGTTAACAAACAACTTAAAGAAAAAAGTCGTCATCATGGTATTGATATAATTGCCTACCAATGTATAATATGTGAGTTTTGAATTGTGAAATGTTGATTGTGAATTGTGAGTATAGAGGGAGAGAGAGGAGAGGGATGAGATGGGAGAATCCTTATACAACGAGATCAAACAACGGAATAGACTAGCAAGGAAATATAAGAAAAAACTAAAAGCGTGCGAAATCAATACATTTTTTAAATCATTTGCCTTTAACTTGAAACAATGATTCATTTAAAAATAGAACATAAGGCTTTCCAGCATCAATAACTATAACAGATTTTATATTATTTTCACTTTAAATGAAATTTGTATAAATTTGTTTTTAAAAACAATCATATAATACCCGCGTGCAGGATAAGGGATGCTTGCAGGGATATGATGAACCACGAAACCCCCAGGAATTGTAATCATTATTATAATCATTCTATTTACACTACACAATTGCTGCGTCTAATGTTTATTGGACTATTTAAATTCATAACTTGAGTCTAGAAGTCGTCTTCCATGTTTTCTAGTTCTCACTGTACCAATCTCTGAAACTATTTGCCTAAAAATTTGATTGGGGAACTAGTTATAGAACGATGGGAATATTCTTAGGATGGTTTAAAAGTTCTAATTTGAGTGGGTTAACTTTACAGGAAAAACAACAAGTTTCCAGACAAAACTGGGTTTCTAAGCTACGTAATATGAATATGTGGAGAAATGATACATTTGTAGTTTCTCTCTAAACATGGATTCAGCAGAACTAGGGCAGTTTATTTGCAAATATCAAAATATTTTTATTTGTTTATAGAGTGTTGTGTCCGATTCCCTTTATATATTCAATTTCCAACATTTTTCTTCTTTAGAATAAAAAATGTTTTTTTTCGATGACTCCTGGAGTAAACCCTATCTTACAACGTTTTCAGCAATTAAAAGCGTTTCTACGGAAAACAGAAGGATAACTTTGCCCTTGATTAGTCGAAGGTTTAAAGGGTTACATTGTGAATCGAACATTCACCTCTTCAAGGGTTTCTAGAAATTACGTTCCCTTAAGACGTTGTTTTCCGTATCTTGCATGACATGGTTTTTAAAATGGCTAATTTACCAAAAATCTGCACTTTCAAACAAAAAGAACCAGATTACACTGAACGAGATCCACTGAACCCAGGAAAATAAAGAAAAATAATGTTTGCTTTTTCATTTCAAGAAGAGAACGGGTTGGTTGAGTGGAAACCAAAATGTGAAAAAGAATTGGGGGAATCTGGGAGAGAAGTAAAAGTAAACAAGTTTAGCAAAGGGAAAAAAAATTTGAGATAAGGGAATTTCTTTTACATAGCACAAGCAACGGAAAGGAATGGTTGAGGAAAGTAGAAATATAGATAGAAACGATAGTTTGGGGGAAAAAAGTAAAAGGAAAAGTATAATAATTAAGTATTATTTTAACAAATTAATTATTTTCTTTATCTAGAAATGAGAGATCGTCTTGAATCTGCTAGACAGGGTTTGAATTCTGAAATACTTTCAGCTCCTTGGCTGGGCATATAGATTTCAATACAGTGTGTTCCAAAACATCATTCTTCTGAACTCTGAATTCTATAGAATTATGCTAAATACTAAATAGTGAACCTATATATTTCTTCTCTTGTTCCTGTCATTTCCCGGGCAGATGCTTAGTTACTTAACCCTTTGTTGATATTCCTGCAGTACAGTACAATGCAGTTAATATCATCCAACCTTGTAAATGAGACAGCAAGGTAATCTCAAATTTGCAAATATTTTGCAGAATTTTGCAGAAAATGGTGGAATATAAGAAATCTACTAATTATAAATTGTTTCAGCAATGGCACGTGTGAATATAATTAAATCCATCGTTAGTGATCGCAGGCAACCTCACTCACCACTCGACAACGTTAATACTCCATACAATCCCATCAGGTAGGATCTCTTTATTCATGTAGGATCCCTTTATTCAGGTAGGATTCAGAATCCCTTTATTCAGGTAGGATTCCTTTATTCAATTAGAATCCCTTTGTTCAGTATAGGATCCCTTTATTCAGTATAGGACATTCAGGTAGGATCCCTTTATTCAGGTAGGATCCAGAATCCCTTTATTATAAGTATTAGATGTCTATTTTATGCTTTTAAAACATTAAATGTTTTTTTTTCTAAAAACAAATCTGAGAACTTTTGTGCTCTAAAGGAATTGAGTCTTTTCTAATACCTATATTGTTTCCACCTGATGGTGCAAACCTTTGATATTTCAAACTTAGAGTCTTTCATCTAACAGAATTGAAAGTTTGAAATATCTTGGGTCTACGGCATTGGGTTGCAAAGATATTGAGATTGGAAAATCATTGTTTGTGACAAAGACTCAATTTCCTTTTTTTCAAAAACATTATATTGATTCTGTCCGAAGAAGGTAGGCCTGACCGATTTTTTTAATTTATGTGCAAACATGGTGGTCTTAAAAATCTTACTTTATTATACTACATTCACCAGGAGCATCTTTCTTATGTCGAGATTTTTACATATCTTTTAATCAATTTAAGTATTTCTATTTGCAATCATTTTCTATTTTTTAGTTACTTTTTGATAAGGAATTACCAATCATGCTAAATAGGCCATGATATTTCAAATAGTCTGTTTTCTCTCTATGATATATAATAAATATATATTATAAGATTTACAAGGTTTACAAGGTTTACAAAGTTTACTCAAATCATTTTTAAAATTTGATGACTACGAAACAATAAAAAATTAAAATTCCAACTCTAACACTATCTCAGCGCGTAATCGAAGATAGATCAGATTTCAATTAAAAAATATACGTTGGGAGATATTGCGATGAAAAAGAATTCATACTCTACTCAAACTCTGATTATCTAATGCTGTTCTTTTGACCGTATATTTTCCAAATCACTTTGCTAAATTTCTTTTTGGTTTACTTTTTCTAACTTTAATAACTTGGGATTATAAATTACCCGCATTAAGTTTAAGATTGATAAATAAATTGATTGGTTGATTTCTAGGCATGTGATGATGAATACAACTATCATCATAAACTGTTCGGAAAGGGAGCAGTGGATAGAGATATGCTCTTCTATAATCCTCAGCTGGTCAGAGATTATGTAAACCAGATTCGTCGTGTTTAGCACAATACAACAAAAATTCATAAAGCCTCTATTATCAAATTTACTTCATAACTTAAGTGTAGACCTTTCTTTGGCCTCATATAGCTTGTGTTAATTCACGGAGCCATGATGAGAACAGTAAAAGTGTTTAGATCTTCTGCATCTTGTTATTTTTTACTTTGGCCTCATATAGCTTGTGTTAATTCATGGAGCCATGATGAGAACAGTGAAAGTTTTTAGATCTTCTGCATCTTGTTATTTTTTACTTCAAAAGCTGGATTTAATTATACTCATCATATTATTGTTTGTTTGTTTGCTGCCTTGCGTAAAATATAAAATGTTTAAATGAGAAAATAGAATAATTAATATTAATGTTTATTTCTGTATCCAATAATAATTCTTTTTGGTTTCAGATTAAATTTTAGTGCTTTATTATAAACATAATCAATAAATAAAAATTGCTTCCAATACAATCGATTCCATTCAATTTCAGTAAAAATCTAAAATCACAAATCAAAATAAAACTAGATAAGTATGCAGTAACAATTTATATCAATACCCCTGAAACGGAATTTGAAGAGAATATCGTTGGATAAACTCCCGAGTGTCTAGACATTTGTGTAATGTAGATTTTAATTAGTAGAACTAGAAATAAAAATACAAATCGTTTGATATAATAATTCGAACCAACAATTTTTATCTACAAAATTGTCTTAACCCAATTACGAAACCGTTAAGTATTCTCAACCATCAGCAGTGTGTACCGGTTTCTTGAACATCCTGTACATTTCAAAGATTGCTAAGATTATGTTCAGCCCCCCCCCCCCCTAAATACCTGCAATCTTGTCTGAATACCAGAATATATTTTCTGTTTTATACAGGGTGTCCCAAAACAAAGGGCCGATGAATATGTGTCCTATCATTGGCTTAAAAATGCACAAAAGGGCTGAATAACACAACTCATCCTTTTTTCGGAGACCCTGGATTTTATAAGTATATATATATACATATATATATTATATATATTCATGTCTTCCATCCCCTATATGGAGTTTAAACACAATTTCTGAGTTTGAAATATTTAAAACTAAATCGCCAGAGGGAGTCCTACATTTATACCAATATTATTTTACAAATTCTTTATATAAAACTAGAATCTAGGGTGTATATAAAACTAGGAATCCAAGGTGGTATATAAAACTAGGATCTAGGGTGTTATAAAACTAGGATCTAGGGTGTATATAAAACTAGGAATCCAAGGGTGTATAAAAACTTAGGATCTAGGCTGTATAAAAAACTAGGATCTAGGCTGTATATAAAACTAGGATCCAGGGTGTATATAAAACTAAGAACCTAGAGTGTATATAAACCTAGGATCTAGGCTGTATATAAAACTAGGAATCCATGGTGTATATAAAACAGTGTGTATAAACCTTGGAATCCAGGGTGTATATAAAACCAAATAGATTGTGAAGTACAATAGCTGGCAACGCTGAATCTTGTAAATCATCAACTAGTTTGACAAAATGTCTTCTTTCTTTTTACATTTTTACATTTACATATTTACGCTTGTTAGGTCGTGTGTAATTGGTCGTTTTTTCGGTTGCCATATATTGTACTTGACAATTTATTTGTTTAAAACTAGGAATCCATGGCGCTACTTACATTAATTAAATCAGACATAAACATTATACATGATACTTGTATTTCATTTAGGATGTATACTACGTATCATCTTATTTCTTAATCGTATTTCTATTGTCATCAAATTTTCCTATTACTGGTTTAGAGTAGGTTTACAGAAAGTAAAATTGAGTATGTTAAGTCTATGTATGCATTATCTGATATACATGGTTTCTTTTATGTATTTTTTGCATGTCTAATTCGAAACGATGTCATTCAATTCTTCGTCTGATGAAGTTATCACTAAATATTTTCAGTTGTGTGTGGTTCTCAATAAAAGACTATTTTAATCCTGAACAGCGATAAATACATCTGAGCGATTTCAAGTCCCACCCAAGACTTTACCAAAGGAAATGAGTCTTTGCTCCAAACTAAGATTTTAAAATCCCTTTATCTTTTCAACCTGATTTTGTAAATCTTTGATATTTCAAACTTAGATTATTTGATTAATTAATTGTTTGAAATATCTAAGGTCTACGACATTGGGTTGCAAATATGTAGGGATTAGAAAATCAGAGTTTGCGACAAACACTCAATTCCGTTCAAAGTTTTGGGAAACACCATTTACATGAATATGCAAACATACAGATATAATAGAAAGAAAAATTTACATATGTGTGGATATACCCCTATTTCCCTGTCCATCCAATCTGCTAGATGTTTGATTAAAATTAAATTGTTTTAGTATTTTATCCTAGTTTGATGGATATGCTTGTGAAAAGTCGGCACGGGAAATTAATTCTACAGAATAATCCAGAAAACAGAAGTTGAATAATGTATTTGAGAATTAAAAGCAGAAAACTGCCAAAGAATGTATTTATATGATATAGCAGAAAACCGCCAAAGAATGTATTTTTGTGAAAAAGCAGAAAACTGCCAAAGAATGTACTTTTGTGAAAAAGCAGAAAACTGCCAAAGAATGTATTTATGTGATAAAGCAGAAAACCGCCATAGACTGTATTTATGTGATAAAGAAGAAAACCGCCAAAGAATGTATTTAAGTGATAAAGCAGAAAACCGCCAAAGAATGTATTTTGTGATAAAGCAGAAAACCGACAAAGAATGTATTTATGTGATAAAGCAGAAAATTGCCAAAGAATGTATTTATGTGATGTAGCAGAAAACTGCCAAAGAATGTATATATGTGATAAAGCAGAAAACCGCCAAAGAATGGATTTATGTGAAAAAGCAGAAAACCGCCATAGAATGTATTTATGTGATAAAGCAGAAAACCGCCAAAGAATGTATTTATGTGATATAGCAGAAAACCACCAAACAGTATATTTATGTGATAAAGCAGAAAACCGCCATAGACTGTATTTATGTGATAAAGAAGAAAACCGCCAAAGAATGTATTTAAGTGATAAAGCAGAAAACCGCCAAAGAAAATACAGCTCAATAATGTATTGCTGTTTTTAAAGCAGAAAACCCCCAAAGAATGTATTTATATGATATAGCAGAAAACCGCCAAAGAATGTATTTTTGTGAAAAAGCAGAAAACTGTCAAAGAATGTATTTATGTGATAAAGCAGAAAACCGCCAAAGAATGTATTTTGTGATAAAGCAGAAAGCCGCCAAAGAATATATTTATGTGATAAAGCAGAAAACTGCCAAAGAATGTATTTATGTGATAAAGCAGAAACCGCCAAAGAATGTATTTTGTGATAAAGCAGAAAACCGACAAAGAGTGTATTTATGTGATAAAGCAGAAAACTGCCAAAGAATGTATTTATGTGATATAGCAGAAAACCGCCAAAGAGTATATTTATGTGATAAAGCAGAAAACCGCCATAGACTGTATTTATGTGATAAAGAAGAAAACCGCCAAAGAATGTATTTAAGTGATAAAGCAGAAAACCGCCAAAGAAAATACAGCTCAATAATGTATTGCTGTTTTTAAAGCAGAAAACCCCCAAAGAATGTATTTATATGATATAGCAGAAAACCGCCAAAGAATGTATTTTTGTGAAAAATTAGAAAACTGCCAAAAAATGTATTTATGTGATAAAGCAGAAAACCGCCAAAGAATGTATTTTGTGATAAAGCAGAAAACCGACAAAGAATGTATTTATGTGATAAAGCAGAAAACTGCCAAAGAATGTATTTATGTGATATAGCAGAAAACCGGCAAAGAATGTATATATTTGATAAAGCAGAAAACCGCCAAAGAATGCATTTATGTGAAAAAGCAGAAAACCGCTATAGAATGTATTTATGTGATAAAGCAGAAAACTGCCAAAGAATGTATTTTTGTGATATAGCAGAAAACCGCCATAGAATGTATTTTGTGATAAAGCAGAAAGCCGCCAAAGAATATATTTATATGATAAATCAGAAAACTGCCAAAGAATGTATTTATGTGATAAAGCAGAAAACCGCCAAAGAATGCATTTATGTGATAAAGCAGAAAACCGCCAAAGAATGTATTTATGTGATAAAGCAGAAAACCGCCAAAGAATGTATTCATGTGATAAAGAAGAAAACCGCCAAAGAATGTATTTACGTGATAAAGTAGAAAACCGCCAAAGAATATATTTATGTGATAAAGCAGAAAACTGCCAAAGAATATATTGGCATGATAAAGCAGAAAACCGCCAAAGAATATATTTATGTGATAAAGCAGAAAACAGCCAAAGAATATATTGGCGTGATGCAGCAGAAAACAGCTAAATAATGTATTGCTGTTTTTAAAGCAGAAAACATCTAAAGAAACGATTTTTATTTTAACAACAGAAAACAGCAAAAGAATGTATTGGTGTGTTAAAATAGAAAACAGCTAAAGAGCGTATTGATGTTTTTAAAGCAGAAAACATCTAAAGAAAGTATTATTATAATCATAAAGCAGAAAGCAGTTAAAGAACGCATTGAATAATGTGTTTGGCATGATACAGAAGAAAACATATATATTGTTTAACATTTGCACATGATCGTGTGGAAATTGCGAAAATAGGAATTTTGATCCACAAGGAAGTATAAATCAAGGCGCAAACAAAACTTTGAGCGCAATTATTTTTAAACTCTGCTGTAAACCCTGATGTAATGATGAAAGTTCCATGAACTAAAACCAGTATTTGAATCATATGAAACCGCTCAAAGATCATACATCAGTTGTCAGAAAAGTTTGCCGCCTATTTCCTTCTCAACCCGAGCAAATTCCAGATGCAGTTGGTGGCGGCAGGAGGGGGACATAAAGAACACAATATTAAAAAACAGGGAAAATATTCTTCCATTGGTTTTAGATGAAAATTCTTTCAAAAAATAATGTTTAAATTTGTGGTTTGCATACTTAGTTTGTAAAGTATCTTTATGGTTTATAGCAGACATTTTTGCACGTACACCATTTGTCTTTAAAAAAAAGTTGTCACTTTTATTAAGTAAAGAGAATATTTATTGGAAATTAAAATCTAAGGTTTCGTTTTACCCCATTTTTGGTCCGAGCATCCGTTACAAATTCTTTATCCAGGGTTTCCTTTAATGGAAGGCGAGGGAATGGTCCATGTTTAAAGGGGAAGCAAAGAGGGATCTTACATATAAAATGAGGGAAAACAACGTTACAATAACTTAATATAAAGTCGATGATGGTTTCTCGTCTTAGATTTTAGCTCTGATTTCACTCTGATTTTGCTCCGATTTCGCTCCGGTTTCGGTCCTGTTTGTGCTTCGATTTTCGCTTCAATTTCGCTCCAGTTTCGCTCCATTTTCGCTCCGGTTTAGCTCCGATTTCGGTTCCGACTTAACTTCGGTTTAAGCTTTAACTTCAGATAATTAAAAAGTAATAAAGGGTAAAACTGAAAAAAGCTTCAAGTAACCATAAATTGGTTGAGTGATGTGGATAAAAGCAGTTTGTTGAAACTCGACAGAATTCATACTTTTATGTCCAGTTGTCTTTGGTCAAATTGTATTCCCAGTGGAGAGAATGCTGAAATGAAAATATGCAATGAATATATATATATGTATATATATGCATATACATATAAAATATTTTAAACGAAATAATGCATGTTTTAAAACATAAAAACCTATCTTAGGAACCCAGCTGTACTTAGAACCTAATGTCTCTTGTTAAAGTCAATCTACATGACTTTTAAACCATTTAAGAACATCCAAGTGGTTCTAACGAGTTCCCCACTCAAAATTTGAGGCAAATTGGTCCAGGGGTTCCTCAGTTAAGATCAGACATCGAAACAGTTTTCTATTGAGGAAGGAAAGATTATCAAAAGTTAGAAAATTTTAGAAGAAAACCCTCATCTTAACACTTCATGTTATGTTTTCAAATTCAACGGAATGAAAGTTTCTGAAATTCTTAAATTTCAGACGCGGCTTAAATATGCTTGTATCCACATAAAATTGTATTCAATGTTAAAATATAAGCCGGCGCTTAATTGAAACCAGTTTTTGCGGATTCGATACGCGGCTAAAATTCATTCAATTCGGACACTGGGAAAAAATAAAAAAATAAGAAATCAAAGTTATCATCTGGGACAATATTCTATTTCAATGTGATTGTTAGGGAAGACTAGCACTTATTTTGTTTAATGTTTCTCCTAATATTTCAAAGAAAAATAGTTTCTCTCTAAACTTTAAAGAGTTTTTAAAATGACTTTTACAAATACTAATTGTTTTTCCTTTTTTGTTTTCTAATTAGTTATATCACTGAGAACAAAAACATTTTTAGGTAAAATATTTATTCTGAAGACTAAATAAAGTTTTAGAATAACAAAGGAATTGAGTTATTGCCACGCACATAAATCCCTGTATATTTGCAACCTGATTGTGTAATCTTTGCTATTTTAAACTAAGATTGTTTGATCTGACTTAATTTATCGTTTAATATATCAAAGTTTTATGCCATTGGGTTGCAAATATATAGAATTTAGAAAATCAGACTCAATTCCTTTATTCTGAAAAAAAAACTTATCTTTCGTGTATAGTACCGTTAATCTTAAATGCTTTATCTTAATAATTCAATGTGGGCAATTTTAAATCTAGGGAGAAATAATGAAACCCTCAATTAAATATGAAGATCAATATTTAATCTGGAGATTTACAGCACAAAAGCTTTGACTTCATATATGCCGTATACATAGAGAATAGAATATATAGAGAGGAATTAAAAGAATCTCTCGGTATGAATTTTTTCAGTCCCTTTCAGCCTGAAAGGGAGTTCAAAGTGTACAAATCATGTAAATGTTCACAAATTATATGCAGTAGAGTACATTAATACAGTATGTTCCCTAGACTATCCATTTCAATTTCGAATTTTCTAAACTGTTAAATAAACTTTATAATGAATTAGGTGAATAAAAACATCATTTGATTTATAGTTATAACGGAAAATCATCGTTTGTAAAGTGGAAGGCATAGAGTCTATGTGAAATGATCATTGGTCAATTATGAAACCAGCCTATTTCATAATTTGGTTTTCTTTTAACAATAATTTTAGATTTTCTATAAAATGATGTTCCAGGGCCCAACAGGTTATATAGCATAAATATGTGAAGTACACCTGCAGTATGGAAACAGTACAACAAAATGGCCGTTTTACACTTTTTTCTAGTAAATTCCTCTCTATATATTCTTTTCTTTATGGCCGTATATTGTGTATGTAAACATACGATGAACTTTCTTGTAAAGAAAAAAATCAGAAATAAACTGTTTTTAAAATTGGAGATTCTTATGAAGAAGTCCGGTGCATGGTCAACTCTATTGTTAAATGTCTATGCGGAAATTTAAAAGAATTAATTTGTTTTGATTTTATATATTTGTAAGTTTTAGTAATAAAAGGATTCAAGACTTCTGAGATGTTTCGATGTCTAAATATATTGTTTTCAATATTAACACAACCTTTAAATTTCATGTTTTAAACCCCGCTATCCGAGCACTGTCCTAGGGTTATAAACGGAAACCCTGGTGTTTAAGATTAAACAGTTTTAGGATGGGTTCAGCTCTGGATACCTCCATACATTCCAACCCAGATACTTCCATACAGGGTAGGTTTTTCATCCAGTTATTCATCTTTAAAACAGCTCTTCCGTAGAGTTATCTCGATATATTTTTTGCAACAAGACTTTTTTAAAACATTTGAATACAACAATACAGTTGTTCTTCTCTGTAATTCTTTTTAAGTAAAGGAGCTGAGTTTTTGCCACAAACTCTGGTTTTCTAACCCCCTTATCTTTGCAACCCAATGTCGTAGATCTTTAATATTTCAAACTCTTAATTCTGAAAGATCAAATAGCCTAAGTTTGAAATATCTAAGGTTTGTACCATCAGGTTGCAGAGATAAAGGGATTAGAAAATTTTAGTTTGTGTCAAAAACTCAGTTCCTTTCCTCTGAAACCCTTCTAAGTACATTTCTCCCCTGTAAACCTTCTAAGTACAGTACATTTCTCCCCTGTAAACCTTCTCAGTAGAGTACATTTCTTTCCTGTAAACCTTCTCAGTACAGTACATTTCTCCCCTGTAAACCTCCCCAGTAAACCTTCTCATTACAGAACAGTTCTCCCCTAAAGCGTTCTCAGTGATTTCTCTCCTTAAACCCTCTCAGTACATTTGTTCATAAACCTTCTGAGTAAGTTTTTCCATTGTAAAATTTCTCAGGACATTAAACCTTCACAGTACATTTCTCCACTGTACACCTTTTCAGTACATTTCTTCTGTAAATCGTCTTAGTATACTTTTCCACTGTGAATATTCGTAGTACATTTCTCCACTATTAACCTTCTCAGAATATTTCTCCCTATAAACCTGCTCAGAATATTTCTCCCTATAAACCTTCTCTGAACATTTCTCCACTATAAACCTGCTCAGAACATTTCTCCCTGTAAACCTTCTCAGAACATTTCTCCCTATAAACCTTCTCTGAACATTTCTCCACTATTAACCTTCTTGCAGAACATTTCTCCCTATAAACCTTCTCAGAACATTTCTCCCTGTAAACCTGCTCAGAACATTTCTCCCATAAACCTTCTCAGAACATTTCTCCCTATAAAACTGCTCTGAACAGTTCTCCCTATAAACCTTCTCAGAACATTTCTCCCTGTAAACCTTCTCAGAACATTTCTCCCTGTAAACCTTCTCAGAACATTTCTCCCTATGAACCTTCTCAGAATAATTCTCCCTATTAACCTTCTCAGAATAATTCTCCCTATAAACCTTCTCAGAACATTTCTCCCTATAAACCTTCTCAGAAAATTTCTCCCTATAAACCTTCACAGAACATTTCTCCCTATAAACTTACTCCGAACATTTCTCCCTATAAACCTTCTCAGAATAATTCTCCCTATTAACCTTCTCAGAATAATTCTCCCTATAAACCTTCTCAGAACATTTCTCCCTATAAACCTTCTCAGAATAATTCTCCCTATAAACCTTCTCAGAATAATTCTCCCTATAAACCTTCTCAGAATAATTATCCCTATAAACCTTCTCAGAACATCCTTTGCTGTAAAATATTGCAGTACATTTATTCCCTGTGGATGAGTTTTTTGTAAACAGTAAAGATAAAAAATAAATAAATAAAAGAAAGGATAAATATAAGAATGAATGGTACTGTGTAAACCGTCAAGATATAGAATAAATAAAAGAAAGGATAAATAAAAGAATGAATGGTATTGTGTAAACAGTAAAACTATAGGATAAATAAAAGAAAGGATAAATATAAGAATGAATGGTATTGTGTAAACAGTAAAGATATAGAATAAATAAAAGAAAGGATAAATATATGAATGAATGGTATTGTGTAAACAGTAAAGATATTGAATAAATAAAAGAAAGGATAAATACGTATATATGAATGGTAGTGTATAAACAGTAAAGATATAGAATAAATAAAAGAAAGAAGAAATACATCTATATGAATGAATGTTAGAGTTTAAACTTCTGACCACATGATAATATTCTAGCCTCCATTCATTCAACTTTTCTTCTCAGCTTATTAATAATAAATCATGTTTAATTAGTGTCTCTAATATCATTCATGTTTTCACATAATATTTGCCAAGGATTTTAGCATATATATATATATTTCTGTATATATATAGTAATGATTATAATTGTGTGGGAAGCTTCATTAATTTGATAAAATTGTATCTTTGACCAATTCTTTAATGTTTTTCCGTTTTTTTTTGTCGGAGTATTTGTTTTACCCACCAAACATTTAAAAATATTTATTTATTATTACTTTTTTAAAAGGGGAGAGGGAGGGGGGGGGGGGAGGGGTAGTAAGGTGAATAAAGAAATTTTTATAGGAAAAATCAATCGTTTTTTTTACAGTGATTTTACAACTAGAAAACTCTGAAATACGAAGACGACTTTACAGCAATACTAAAGTGTATTTTATGTTGTTTCAAAGAACATAGTTTTACTAGACACTTATTAAATCCCTAATTAAGTGAAATGGGCCTGTTTACACTGCACAATTTCTGTGTCTCATGCTCATTGGATTATGTAAAGTCATAACTTTACTCTAAAAGTCGTCTTCATATTCTGGAGAAATAAGAGCCAATATATGAAAAATAACAACGCAAATAAAAGCCTTTAATATGAGCTAAGCATAATTAAGGAATACAAAATTAAATGGTTCTATTTTAAACAATTCAAAGACTCAAAATAAATTTTCAAATTGAAATTGAAAATTAATTTTAAATTCATGAAGACGTTTTGAAAATATAAGAAGAATACTAAATTTTGTTGGCCCGGTTAAATAAGGCAATATTTAAAATCCTAATTTAATGAATGAATAAAATTTGTTTTATGATTTTTGAATAATAAATCAAATACAAATTTGAAGTAGACTGTCGAACTAAAAAAACTCAGGGAAAAAACTTTGATTTTTCGTCAGAAACATTTTCAAAATATGAATGATATTAATCAACCACAAGACACAAGTTGATAACTATCTATCTATTTATCTACCTAATTACATGTTGTAGATCTAGTAGCATCACACCTGAGATCCAAGTAAACATGCAACTAATCAATTATCATCTAGTTTTCACCCATTCCCATTCATCCTAGGGGTGTAGGAAGATTTAAATAAAACTATTTTTATCATCGAGGGGAGGGGGGGGGGGGGTTATTTAAAACAAGCCAATCTTGAAACTATGAATTCGATGATTTTCAGCCCTAAAAATTTTATCTCAGAAAAAATTTTGACTAATTCTACCTTAAAATAAAACTTTCCAAATAGTTATAATGACCAGGTCTGATTGTGTTTTCTTAAGCTAAAAAATAAATATGGTTTAAAAGGAAAATATTTTTTGTCCCTGATTTGGAGACATGACAATCGGAAGTAATGTTTTCAGCAAATTCTAATTGTTGATCAGTATTTATAAATACATCTTAACTACCATATCTCCTCGGGTAAATAAACACTTTATCCTGAAAGGAACTGTAAATGTAACTTCAAAATACCCTCCATTTAAAAGAGAGTGGCATGTACGATTTACAACAGTACCTTATAAACCCTCATTTGACCAAAACTGAGGAAGATTTGGTCGTTTTTCTAGCTTGGACAACAGTGTTTTATTCTGATTATTTCCTCCCAATGGTTCTGTAGCAGAAAATGTGAAGATAACAATGTAGACATACCATATTTAAAATTATGAGTTAATCTATAGATAAATTGTTTGTTTGTTTATTTGTTTGTCTGTTTGTATCCAATAAACGTCAAAACGGCTGAACCGATCGGGCCCAATTTTTTTGTGGGACATCTAGGGACCCCAGGGAAGGTTTCTGAATGATCAAAATTTCAAATATTTGTCTCCATCAAAATTCGATCTTCATTAAATTTTTGAAAATTTTGAAAATCCACGAAATTTTTTGCGCAAATCCGCGAATTATTTTTGTTTTGTTTTACGATGTACACAAAGAGAACATGTTCACAATCAATTTAGAAGATGGGCGCGAAGCGCCCTAAAAGCCTTGTATGTATATATTTTATGTATCCTTGATCAGACAAAGCTTTTAAGGACGCCGTTGTCAATCGGACATCTCACTTTAGAAATGGAGAGTCATTTGAAATTACGACTACAGTCCTTTAATACTAAAAGTTATTATAAATAATCCTGTATTTTATATTTTGAAAGTTAAAAGAGTATGGCCTTTATAAGCATAAAAAAATAAGATAACCGATAATTGGATGGCAACTAAAAAAAATAAAACTTAAGTTTTCGTATCCTTATATCCTTGCAACTTGATAGTGTAAACGTTTGATATTTCAAACTTTGAATAATAATTCTAACTATAAAATTGTGATTCTTAATTTTGATCTTTTGAATTAAAAACGAAACTTTTGAACAAAATATTTACAGCCCAGAACATTTCTATCCTACTGCGGGGAGTCATGTTTTAATTTATATCATTACAATTTTTTTCGAATTTAAAAAATTCATTCTTGTTTAGATGGAAGATTTCTCACGGTTCTCGGCAGAAAACGACGACATTTCATCTTCTCCTTCCTCGGAATCATCTTTGGAATCATCGCCAAGTACTCCTAGTACTCCTGGTAGCCGATCAACAGAACCCCAAAAAAAGTCGGATATCGAAGATTCACCGAAAAGTTCTAAACAGAAAAGTTCCGAGACAATGTGGGGCTCAGGACAAACTGGGTTTGGTGGAGGCCAATCCTACAACCAAGGACAATCTGGAGGACAGTATCAAGAGCTTGGTCAACCTCGAGGTCAATTTTCAAATCAAAGAGGACAGTTTCAAGATCAATTCTCCGGCCCATCAGGATTTCAACCAAACCCAGGTATTTATAGAAATAACGTTTATAAAAAATCAGACCCAGGAAACATTTTCACCGACTATATGTGCCGATAGCGATGATGTCGAGTAAATAATTCTGGACTTTATATGTTCGCCATCGGTTTGTCGAGTTAAAATGTTTGCATGGGAAATAATTTTGATCTTTAGAAGAAGAAAAAACATATATATTTAAGGATTCGGTTTCTCTAGTTCAAATTTATCCCATCGGCCCGGGTTCCAACAACCTTCAGGTACTGAATTGCACAAAACTCTACTTTACTGTACTGTACTGTACTGCACTGTACTGTACTGCACTGTACTGTACTGTACGTTACTGTACTGTACTGTACTGTACTGTACTGTACTGTACTGAACTGTGCTGTAGTGTTCAGTATTGTACCGTACTGTACTTTAAAATCCTCGAAAAAAAGTATTTATATCTTAAAGATTGTTTAAAGAGCCTAACTATTCTATTTTATTATGAATTTTAGCATTTTTAATAAATGATTGATTACAGGTTATTTGGTGGATTCTGGTTCAACAAGACCAGGGTTTTCCTTCCACCAATTTAGCACACCAATAACACAAGGTAAAATATCCAAAAATATCCAAACATATTATTTAACATAATGGAAATATCGAAGACGATATTCGAAATTGTGATTTTATATTACAGATTATGGACCACCAAAGATCGAACCTGAAGAAGATAAAGGGACTGTTTTCAATTGTCCACCAAATTCTGAGGATCGACTCAGGTAACGAGAAAATAAACCTTTAATAGAATATTTGAACTGAATTCAAATTTTAAGGATTCTGCTTTTATTGTGATTTTAAACTTATTTTCAAAAAATTGAACCCAAAATGTTTTGTGCATGGAGAATAATATATAAAACTTAAGAACTGAAAGAGTATACGAGGAACCAGCTCCTGGAGAATTCACAATTGAGAAAACAGAAGAATCTGAACCTGGATCCCCTTCTCATAATCCTACAAGGTATAATTAGGATTTTCACTTCTGGAATTAGAAACAAGCTGTTTTGATGTTTTGAAATTCTCAAAATTTACAAGTGCAAGGTTGGTATGCTCTAACCAAAGGCTTTAAAGTGATTAGATTGACTTTTGTACTGCATGCAATGATGCTCATTCTTTGCAACCTGATGATGCAAACCTTTGACATTTCTAACTTAGATTTTTTACCTATTAGGATTAATGGTATACAATATCAAAATTACAATATTCCCCATTTTTAAATTTTCTTATCTAATCTTTAAATTCTAAATACTGAATTTTACTGATTAAATTATTTCTAGAACGAAAAGAGTGAAGTTACGAGACATGATGTCACGTGTTGTTAAATCTGCTCTCAGGTATTAGCAATTCAAAATATTTTTTCATTCTTTAACATATTTACATTGACTCCTTGAAAACAAAACAAACAAATCAAACTTAGTCTAGCAAAGAAACGTCTCTCGGCCCCTAAATCCTCCCCCTCCCCCCCCAAAAAAAAATGCAAATGTACAAATAAATTTGATACAAGCTTTAGAACCCAGCGATGCGGCCCCAGGGTACGTATAGCTCCTCCCGTCGTTTACCCGCGCTTGGACGTGAATTACGATTTTAGCTATTTTTCCTTTAAAAGGTGGACCCACTCGGCACTCAATTTAGAAACTCAAAGCCAAGCCAAGAACATTGTCGTGGTTCTCACGAGTTCCCCAATCTAAATTTGAGACAAATTGGTCAAGGGGGGTTTCATGAGTTACGATCGTACATATAAACAGACACCTAAACAGAGATAACAACTTTATATATATACATTATACATATTAAACATACTTTAACTACTCCAGCTCTTTACTTTTGGACATTGGAATTTATGTAATCTTAATGATCTAAATTAATTTTTAAAAACTATTTTGTTTAGTAATCAAGAGTTTGAAAGGGAAGCAGATAGATTCAATCGGTGAGTTGACAATTTTAATAAATCTGTTTTAAACTTAATAGATTCAATCGGTGAGTTGAATTTTAATAAATCTGTTTTAAACTTAATAGATTCAATCGGTGAGTTGTTAATTTTAATAAATCTGTTTTAAACTTAATAGATTCAATCGGTGAGTTGACAATTTTAATAAATCTGTTTTAAACTTAATTATAATTTTCACTTTGTCTAACAACTGTATTTCAGGGAGCTGACTGTTAGTATGGCTGGTCAAGATGAATTCATCAAGACGGAAAAATAAATTCAAAATTATAAAATCAAAACTTTCAGTACTTTTTTTATGTTCAATATATTATAAGAGTATATTTCCAACCTTGTATGATGTATATAAAATATTTATATTTTTCACCTTGATTAACAATTGTTAAATCTTCAAACTAAGAATAAGATTTAGAAAAAAGAGACACGAAGAGGTTCGCCAAACAGATTTTTAAACAAAAACAAACCAACACATATTTTCTGACACTGACACTGAATCTACAATGAACTGAGCTAGGTGGTTTAAAAATCAGATGTTGCTTATATATCTGGTTCAAATGTTCTTTTCTTGTGATAGCCTTAAACCAACCTAATTTTAATTATTTTTATTATTGTCGTGAACTTTAGAAAACCAGTGATTGACTTGAACTGATCTTTATATTTTTATATCTTTATATTTATATATTTGTATTAGATACTTTTGTGAAATATATGTAAACATTTATTTTTAATGAATTATTTTTTACTTTAAGTATATATGAATGTAAAATTAGCAAAAGAGAGAAATAACTACAAAAAGGGGGCCTTCTGACTTCATTAATTGAGATTTCTCTGATATTCAATGTGGGCATTTTTAAATCTAAGGATATCCATACTTCTTGGTAACCTCGAGGTCTTACTACTGCTAGGTCCCCATGACTACTATGAATCCTCTAGGTTTCCCTAACACTATGGTCCTAGGTCCCCTTACTACTAGGTATACTTTTGGTTCCCCTACAACTAAGTATCTCCTAGGTCCACCCTACTACTAGGTATTCTCCAGTTCCATTTATTACTAGGTATCCCCTAGGTCACCCTCCAACTAGTATACTTTAGGTTTCCCTAATACTAAGTATCCGCTAGGTCTCCCTACTTTTAGATATTTTCTAGGTCTCCCTACTGCTAGGTATCCTCTAGGCCCCTCTAGTACTAGGTATCCTCTAGGTCCCCCTACTACTAGTTATCATCTAGGTCTCCCTACTACTAGATATCCTCTAGGCCCCTCTACTATTAGGTATCCTCTAGGTCCCCCTAGTACTAGATATCCTCTAGGTCTCCCTACTGCTACATATACTCTAGGTCCTCTTACTACTAGGTATTCTCCAGGTCCTCTTCATACTAGGTATTTTCTAGGTCCACCTACCGCTAAGTATCCTCTAGGTCTCTTTTCAGCTAGATATACTCTAGGTCTCCCTACGACTAGGTATTTTCTAGGTCCCCCTACTGCTAGGTATTCTCAAGGTCCTACTACTAGGTATACTCTAGGTCCCCCTACTACTAGGTATTCTCAAGGTCCCCCTACTACTAGGTATCCTCTAAATCCCCCTACCACTAGGTATTCTCTAGGTCCCCCTACTACTAGGTATCCTTTAGGTCCCCCTACTACTAGGTATCCTCTAGGCCCCTCTACTACTAGGCATCCTCTAGGTCCCCCTACTACTAGGTATCCTCTAGGCCCCTCTACTACTAGGTATCCTCTAGGCCCCTCGACTATTAGGTATCCTCCAGGTCTAGGCCCCTCTACTACTAGGTATCCTCTAGGTCCCCCTACTACTAGGTATCCTCTAGGCCCCTCTACTACTAGGTATCCTCTAGGTCCCCCTAATACTAGGTATCCTCTAGGCCCCTCTTCTACTAGGTATCCTCTAGGTCCCCCTACTACTAGGTATACTCTAGGTCCCCCTACTACTAGGTATCATCTAGCTCCCCCTACTACTAGGTATCCTCTAGGCCCTTCTACTACTAGGCAACCTCTAGGTCCCCCTACTACTAGGTATACTCTAGGTCCCCCTACTACTAGGTATCCTCTAGGCCCCTCTACTACTAGGTATCCTCTAGGCCCCTCGACTATTAGGTATCCTCCAGGTCCCCCTAGTACTAGGTATCCTCTAGGTCCCCCTACTACTAGGCATCCTCTAGGCCCCTCTACTACTAGGTATCCACTAGATCCCCCTAAAACTAGGTATCCTCTAGGCCCCTCTTCTAGTAGGTATCCTCTAGGTCCCCCTACTACTAGGTATACTCTTGGTCCCCCTACTTCTTGGTATCATCTAGGTCCCCCTACTGCTAAGTATTCTCAAGGTCCTCCTACTACTAGGTATTTTCTAGGTCCCCCTACTACATGGTATCCTCTAGGTCCCCCTACTACTAGGTATCCTCTAGGTCCCCCTACGGGTTCCCTAGGTCTAGAAAGATCTCTAGGGCTATATTTGTATTCCTTGTATAAAACTATCCTGACACCTAATTAACTCCGTTAGCTAAACTTCCAACTAGAAACTGCATAATTCATTAAACTCTCCACTAGCCAGGGGGCACCACCATACAGTATTCAGACGTTAGTTATATTCATTTAAAGGGGCTCACCCTAGACTAAGCTTTTGTGCAGATTTTTTTAAGAGAAGGCACTTTCTGTAAGATAAGTCGTTTAGACAGTTGAGGTTGATTTCTGCCTAGTGAAAAAGAATTAGGTCGTGGTGGAACACGCAATTCGGGAACAACAAAACCTAAACACTGTATGGCACGGGCAACTGTATGAACTAAAAAATAATAACCATGGCATGGATATATCATAGACATGCTTTGGTCCATGGATTAAGCCGGTAATTTTCTAGTTGTTCAAATATATTCGTTAGCTGTATGTGTTATTGTAGTGTATTGTTAAAGAATGTTTAGTATTTCTAAATGTGAGTTTATATTTAATGATTTGTTTGCTTTTTACCATCCTCTCCAGTTCATTAAACTAACCTTCTTTTTACTGCAATATAAAGCAATGGAGGATTAAGAATAGGGATATCAGCAAACTTGTAGGAAGTGTGTTCAGTCGGCAGGGAGGATTAATAATTAAACAGAAAATACCAGATGAAGGATTTCACGATTTTATACATGGAGGTTTGAAAGGAATCTCTTGCCACAAACTCAAGTTTTCTAGCAACGTACTCGTGAAAACTTTTGATATTTCAAATTTAAATTATTTAACCTACCAGAAATTATGTTTTATAATATCTAAGGTCAACGACACTGTGATGTACAGATATAGGGATTAGAAAATCAGTGTTTTAATCCTTTATAAAAGTAAAAATAAAAATAAATAACTGAAAAATATAAAATATTTTATTTCAGGGTTAAATATAAAGAATTTAAAGTTACTGAAAATCCAAAAAATTGTCTTGAAAAGAGATCAAAACATTTGTTTTGTTAATCCTTTAAAAAAGAAATAATCGTTGTCATAACAATGTTAATTTTCTAGGTCTCTGAAGCAGGTGCGTAGACAGGATTTGAGATAGATAGATAAATAGATAGATAGATAGATAGATAGATAGATAGATAGATAGATAGATAGATAGATAGATAGATAGATAGATAGATAACTCCCTCCTCCTCCCATACCCATCCTTCTCGCTCCGCCCCTACACCCAAACACTTTCTCCTCGGCTATATTTAATTAATGTTCTTGATACAATAGAAAATTAATCTGAAGAAAGAAAATATTCGACCAAACAGAATAGCAGAGAATAGGGAAGAATATAGAAATAAGTTTGCCAGGTTCTTTCACCGAGTATCCCTAAAAGAGCTGGCAGCCTTTGGAGCCTGCTTACAGTCGGGGAGGGAGATTTCCCCCCTCAAACCCTTCCTGTAAAATGTCCTTATAAGATATTTCTGAAATTCCTTAATTCTAACTTTATCAGATAATCAGATAATGGGAGGTTTACATAAACTGTTAACAGCTATTGCCACTTTTAAGTGCATTATTAATTATGTTTAAACAAAAAATATCATATAATAATAATAATACACATTTACATTAGAATTAGTTTTACAAGGCTTATAAATAAAGCTAAATCCATAGAATAATTCAAATAACAGATAGGACACAATATGTCGTCTTTTCAAGATTTTAAGTATTTCGTTCACATTAACGATTAAAATAATATTTTGAACGAAATATTTTAAATCTTGAAAAGACGACATCTTGTCGGCCGCACAATAATTTTTTCGAAGCACTTAAAAAGTTTAGCAAGAGATGCTTTTATTAGATAATTTTTTTTTATTAATTCAGTTCCATGAGGTTTGTTCAAACCAGATTAACATTGTAATTAAAGCTCTTAAACCACACTTTAAATCACTAACGATGAAGAAGTATCCCTTTGGTCACGCTAAGTCCCAAAAGATTTTAGCCCCGATCGGTTCAGTAGTTTTGACGCTTAATATTGTTTACAGACCAGACAAATCTAAATAAAAATCTACTCAAATTTTGAAGATTTTAAGTTTTAGAAAACATTATGGAGTTGAAGTTTTTAATTGGATTAAGAGGATCGAGATTTAGAGGGGTTCAAACGCAGAATATTTTTTTCCGCTTCTTGGGCTCGGAAGCTTATTTGTCTGGCGACCTCTCCCCCCTCTTTATACAAGTCCAATATTCTCTCTTATCCCGATCTTTTAAATTATAAAGATCTGACTCTAGGTGTGTGATTGTGAATTACTACAGTAGACAAGTAGACTAGCAGTCGGCACAGGATTAAAAAGATGACCGACCGCGAGCATTAGTATTAGTTAGTAGTTAGTACCCAACATACTGCGTGGAAACATTTAGTCCGAAATATATTAATCACCTAAACAAATAGTAAGAGATCAAGAAAGTCACTTTATCTTGATAAATTTCGAAGTGTGAGGATGAATTTTCTCGACGTGTGTATTATGATATATCTACAAATAAACAGTTCAGGACAGCATGCCATCTTCCAGGAGCCGCCTAGCAGGGCTTCCATTGGTAAGAATAAATACAGATCCGTTTTTTTACGAATTATGTTCTAATTTTTTTTTTGGCCACTACGGGGTTACTTTAGAGATGATCGTACAGAATTCATTAAGTTTAATATTCTTAAATTCTTGGTTTTCTGCAGCAACTTTTTTGCTTTAAAAATCAATTAGGAAATCATCAAAAAACTATATTTAATTCAAACGACCAAATTCAATCATTACATTATTATTTTTCAAGATTTTAAGGTCGTCGTAAAAGTGTAATTCTGTTTTACTAACCCGTATTTGACAACCTAACAACACTGAGGGTTTAACCTAACTTTTATACAGTTAAAAGAAGCAAAATTAAACTCCAGAAATAGAAAAAATACAATTTCAAGGATTCAATGTAAGAAGAGGGGCCTACGGATATAAAATTCGTAAAATTTTTTTTTTTTTAATAGTCTTTGATTTCCAACATATGATAAATTACAATTGAATTATCAAAAAAAATTGTGTGTTTTATGATCATTTCAAAATTTGGTCTTCCTTCCTTAATTGTATCTTTTTGATTTACAAAGATATTTTTTAATATCTTTTAATATCTTTTAATATCTTTTTTAATATTTTTTAATAATTTTAATAATTAATTGTCTTTTTGCGTATATCGTCCGAAATGGAAAAAATAGAATATTTAAAATGAATATAAGACATTAATTAAGGTATTCTCAAGCCAATGTGTAATCTACCAAAGAACCACGACCACATGTCTGTATATTGTGGTGGGTTTGGACCACAACATAATGCTATTAACATGGGTCGCTGTGCTATATGTGGTGATGAATTCAGTACTCCAAATAAGGTAAACGGGGGTTGATAATTGGCAACAAAATTTAAGCATTTTAAAGGTTCTTTGTGAATTTAGTGCTACAAACCTTTTTTTAAAGTTGACTTTTAGAAAAAGTATCAAATGGGTCAAACATTCACATCCCAAACGTAACGCACGTTAATATTCTATTATTTGATTTAAATTTTTACTTTATTGTTGGTAACAGTAAACAGTTAGTGTATTTAATCGTGTTGGTTTTTATCAACTTTAAATGAAACTTCTCACATTTCAAACCTGTATTCTGTTAAATGTTGCTTTTATAAAACTTTGCAATATTTTTATCTTAAAAAAGTAAAATTAACAAGGAAGCGTAATTTTTTTATTATTTTCTCTCAGAATTAAAATGTTTGTTGTATAAGAAAAGCAAATATTAAGAATGAATAATTTTGAAAACATTAGCTTTCCTTAAAAGAAACTGAATTTTTGCCACAAATTCTGATTTTCAAACACCTATATCCTTCGCAACACTATGTTGCAGACCTTTGATATTTCAGACTATGAACTCTGTTAGATCAAATAGTCGAAGTTTGAAATATCAAAGTTTTACACCATCATATTGCACAGATATAGAGGTTAGACAATTTGAGTTTGTGGCAGAAACTCACTTCCTTTGCCAAATTTTGAGAGAACCAAAACTAGCAATAAGACTTTAAATAGTACAGTGATAACCAGAAAACTCTGAAATAAGAAGACGACTTTATAGCAATATATTTGATGGTGTTACTAAGCAAATAGTTTAATAGACACTTATTAAATCACTACAATTGCTGCTCATTGGACCATTTAAAGTCATATCATCAGTCTGAAAGTCGTCTTCATATTTCAGAGTTTTCTTGTTATCACTGTACACAATGTTAGATCTAAAAAGCTATACTTTCTTAACGATACAGCAAAAACGTTATGTATAAATTTTGTATGGTTATTTGAAAATTTTCAGGATTGATCACTTTGGTCATTTTTACCTTAATTAATCCCCCTTACTCGTCTTGAAACTGTAGACTATACATCTTTTTGTTTTATTCAATAAAACTTTATTGGCAAAATTCTGATAGATTTTTGTATGAGAGTGTTTTGTTCTACTGTCCGTGCATAGCATTTGAAAATGAAATATTTAGGAGCACCAGGCTGGAGGAAGGTTTGCTACAGGAACTATAGCACGCAGCTACCGACCCGGTCAACTTATAGATGTTGAGATTGACCTGGTAGCAAACCATTTCGGGTTCTTCACCTTCGCCATCTGCCCGCACAACAACATCCTCACCTCGCCCAGCAGGTAGAGCTTTAGTAAGTAAGAATTCCAAACTGCGGGTTGCTGAAGCTTAACAGTTAACTTATCTGCAGGGTTATCCACAAGGGATGAAACTTCAGAGACGACTGTATGGAATTTAGTTTTTCTTTATTAATTCTATTTATGGTTCCCTGCACTGTAACCTTGCTTCTTTCCTTGCCAAATCATTCTTTATATCATTAACTGATTAGATATATTGAAGTTCAACCTTCAGATTATTATTATTTTTAAAGAAATGTAAGTCGTCTTTTTAATCTAATCCTTTGTGGGTAACCTGTATATTATCTTTTGTGTCTTGATGCATTTTCTTAAAAATCCGCGCACTAATCATTATTTACTAGAGTATATGTTTTGACCAATCCGCGAATCATGCCATCCAATAGTTTATTTCGTAAATCCGCTAATCATGTCATCCACTAGTTTATTTCGTAAATCCGCTAACCATGTCATCCAATAGTTTATTTCGTAAATCCGCTAATCATGTCATCCAATAGTTTATTTCGTAAATCCGCTAATCATGTCATCCAATAGTTTATTTCGTAAATCCACTAATCATGTCATCCAATAGTTTATTTCGTAAATCCGCTAATCACGTCATCCAATAGTTTATTTCGTAAATCCGCCAATAATAATTTTCAAGGGATTGTTTTCTGAAAAATCAGCTGATGGTGAATGGTGTGATTGAGTACTTTGCAACTGCTGGAATTGGACTCAAGAAAATGAAGGTTAGCAAAACGTGGTTGAAAAATTTATCTATTTTTAGTAATCTAAACGAAAAAACTTCATTGTACTAGTGAATTCTATGAAAAATTACATAACATGAATTATTATCATAAGTTTACACAATAATTACATTATTTTAAGTAAAAATCAAGATAATTGAATTCTTAGACAGTCCCGACGTTAAAGTGTCGCAATGCCTTGACCTTTGGTTTTACCTCTTCTATACGAATTCATATTTTTTTGTAGCCCTAGACATATGATTGTTGAAAATGCAACACGCCTGTTTCTAGCTTAAGTTTAAAAGAAGTAATTGGCAAAATCTTGCTCGATTTTTGCGTGAGAGCAGAGTAATGGGACTCCTTGTTTGTGATCATTTAGATTTTAAGATCATCTGGTGTCTCATATTCCCAGAAATGATGATTAAATGTCTAAAATTGTTATTATCATAAAATGCACTTTCTCGATTTTAACTTACATGATTCCTCTCTAATTCAGTTTATTCTGTTAAGGTTCAGCTTCCTGAGAAAATGACATGTAAGCAGTGTATATTCCAGTTTACATACACTAATGGGAATAACTGGGGGGCCGGACCACAAAGTGCTGAAGTTCAAACCCTTGATTGTCTAGAGAATGTTGGAGGTAAGCTAGGCTGTGGTCCACAAGAAACATTCAGGGGATGTGCAGATATATGTATAGGAGACTTCTGCCCCTTTCAGGATAAATGTGCTAAGGTTTCTGATATCAAGGATGAAGCTTTAGTAACATCAACAACAGCAACAACAATCAAACCAACAACGACATCATCCACAACAAATACCAAATGGACAACAACAACATTATCTACCACAACTAATAAAATAAGTTCAACATCAACAACAGTTCAAATAACCACAACAGCCGCTATGACAACATCCTCCCCAATGGAGAAGATTTGTGTTTACTCTGGTATAAAGAGCCAGTACTGGAGCCAACCTGGAGATTTCTACTGTAGATCTATCTGCCAGGATAAACCTGAATCTGTTTGTTGGGAGGGAGCTAACACACACTTCCTCTGTTACTGTCAGCAGACCCCACCAGACTTAAAATATCTACCAGTTATTATTAATATTACTGAGAGAAATTAAATCTTTAATTCTTTATTTCAAAGATTGAAATACAAAATAAATCAGATTTGTTTAAACCAAATATTTGATTTCTTCGTTTTTCTTCTGTATGGTTTTTATATTAGTTTACCATAGTATGAATACGTTGAACAGTATTAAAGAATGTGAAAAAGCAGCCTAGGTTGTCGTAGAATCAAGCATTAAACTTCATCTGATGCAGATCTATGGATTAATTTCATTCCGCTTCGTTATTACGAGATGACCTTACCCTACAGGGATAACTTTCAATCCTTTCTTTATCCTTTCTTTATCCTTTCTCATCCTCTCTCATCCTTTCTCATCTTTTCTCATCCTTTCTTCATCCTTTCTTCATCCTTTCTTTATCCTTTCTCATCCTTTGCATGCTCCTTCTCTTCTCTGAAGCCTATTTTACCTCTCGTTTTCTTACTGTAAATTTTTTCGTAATCTTTTTCAAACCAATCATATCCCCCCCATCCTACCCTGTGCTTCAAACCATCCTACCATGCCCCATTCTTACTCCAATCCTCTTCCTAATCCGTCCGTCCTCTCCTTCTTAGTACCTTACCATCCAACATTTGTTAATCCTTCCTGCGATCCTTTGTCTGATTCATCCTACCCTTTTCTACATTAGATCATCATACCTTGCCCCATTTTTTATTCAATCCTTGCTCAGATCAATCCTATTCCCTCCTTTGTACCATATCATCCAACCTTGGTCAATCCTTCCTCCAATCTTTACTCTGAACATTCCAACCCTCTTCTTCTTCCCAACTTTGCCCAACTCCTCCGAAACTTTCCCTGATCCTTTCCTATCCACTTTATTTGAACAAGATCCTTCTCAAATCCTTCTTCCAATTTTCTTCCTGATCCATTCTATCCTCTTCTTCTTTAAACCATCCAATTATTTTTCTTCCCTTCCCTGTCCTTCCTAACTTATAATATTTATTCTGCATTACTCCTTCTCTTTCCTTTCTCTCTTCCGCGACCCATCCGACTATCTTTTCCATCTTTCTATCTTCTCTCCATCCTTTCTTTCTCCTCTTCAATTCTTCTAATTACTCCACTAAACCTTTTCCTGCAATATTCTATTTATCCCTCTCCCTCACCCCCTCCCCCTAATATAACCTTGTATTCCTTCCCCCTCCCCTAGCCCCCCCCCCTAGTTGATTCTGAGTAAATTAGCAAAAAGTGTAGTTAACGATGAGTGTGCTTACAGGAAGGTTCAGAATGATTATACTCTGCCCCCAGCCTAAACTTCAAACCAAATCTATGTTTCTATTTATGTAGGACTATGTAAAAATTCTCTGATGTAATATATCAATGCAATTGATACAGGACGTATACATGGGGGGGGGGGGAAGGTTAAAAAGATATATGACAGCTGTAGATATTGAAGTAAAGGGACAGATCACAGCTGTAGATATTGGAGTAAAGGGACAGATCACATCTGTAGATATTTGAGTAAAGGGACAGATCACAGCTGTAGAGATTTGAGTAAAGGGACAGATCCTCAGAATATATATAATATAGAATAACAGGTGGCACCTGTATTGGTATGACATTGTGAACATGTATTGGTATGTTATTGTGTACATTTAGTACACTGTTCTTGGGGGGGATTTGTTTTGATCAGTTACATTATTTCTCAGTATAGACAAGCATGAGGTATTTTTCAGTGTTAAATTGTAACACGGATCAGACATACAAGATAAGATTTCATTCTTTTCCAAAAGATGAAAAGTTAAAAAAAACGTGGAGTAACTTCACAGGAAGGCCAGGTTTCTGGACTCCGGGAAAATTTAGTGTTGGCTGTGCTGTGCGAAACATTTTGAAAACAAATACGTTTCCGGACGAAAATTAATTTATAACGCTGTTCCCAGTCTCCATCCTCCCCACCATCCACATCAACAGGAACAGCTAGATAATGGAGAGGGTGAGTCTTGACTTATTTACAGGG